TTGCAGATTAGAAAACTGCTTCTGGATACATCAGGCTTTTAATGTGAGGTGGTATTTTAACTCCTCCATATACCAACATAGAGTATTACTATTTTTAATGGCACTTTAAATGCTCAGGCTCTCTGGATTCTTAATCCTTTTATGTAGTTGTCACCCCCAAGCACAAATCATGGGGAATTTTAGTTCCTCAGTTTTGACAATTCTAAAGCCTTAGTGATGATGCTAAATCTTTACCTCCTAATTCACGGTACAGTAGGATAACTTCTCTACTTTAGATATTCCTATTTTTTTTTCCTAAACCAACTCTAGCCTTTTAACTCTTAGAACCAGATGACGTAGGAGTTTACTTTTCTACTGAACAGCGGAAAATTAACTTTTCCTGATCATGGAAAAAATTCTTACTGGTCTAACATTTCAAGGACTAGAAGAAAGGATAACCATAGGAGAGAGGGGATAGAATGAACATAAATATCCATGAACACAAGTGTTAGAAACATAGAATCTGGTTGCAGTTTTATAGTGATATGCTTAAAAGTGCTAAGTAATTGAGCAGGTGGGAAAGCTAGAGCACAGTTGGAGAGGGTTACTAGAATGGTCTCAACAACTGGAGCTGGGTGGGGCAGTGAAAGAAGAGAGTATTCTTAAGAATGAAATTTATTACAAAAATACATTTAACTTCAGTCTTATCCATAGGCAATATTGCAAAGCATATGGAATTCCTGTCTCCATTTTTTTAAAACACTCCTTTGATTTTGTTAAGACCTGTCTCCCTTCTCTTCCAGGGAATCAGCGCCCTCAGGTGAGGCTAGGAGTACTCCCTCATAGTTAGTGCCTGACCAGAACTTCAGACTCACCTCCTTCTCCAAGCAAAATATATCCTTCTGAGCTAAATGACAATAGGTAGAGATGGATTGGTCGGGTAAGATTACCACTGCTTTTGTGTCAGCTAACTAATATGGTGCCAGTCTTGGATAGCAATGCCTTAACACTTAAGAAGTGACAGAGGGTTGGAAATTTCAGACCTAGTGGCTGGTCTGGATGATATTTTGGGTAGGCAAGCTTTTCTGACATCACTGAAATCATACCAGCTGCCTTCTCCAACTATGAGTAAAGCCATTTCTACCCTAACCCCACCCCTCCTGTTACTGAAATGTGAACCACAAAATTGGTCCATACCATACTCATTTTTCCCATTAAAATACCAGTAGGGAACTTTAGTGCAATGATGACTAAATCATGCCTCTGGCAAGCTAATTTATTGATCTCATTTAATTAGTGGCAATATAATTATTAAATTCTATCCAGCAAAGTAATTTAGAAAATGGCAAAATTCGCAAAAATGGTTTCTAAGGAAATTATTGGATTTAAGCTGACTGTTCATTTTTTAGAGTTTTCTATTTCATAATGACCAAGAAGATATTTTTTAACCCCATCCTTTCCTTTACTAAATGCACACCAGTTGCACATTATGAAAAGGTGTATTTAGTTTAGAGATTCACATAAAAATTGAGATGAGGAAACAGACTGACTCTTAAGAGTTGAGAGGGACCTCAGGGACCATACATCAATTCCTTCATTTCACAGTCAGGAAACTGAGACTCAGAAGAAACTACTTGCCCAAGTTCACAGAGTGACAGAAACCAGGTTCAAATCCAGGTCTTTTTTATTTTAAATGTGTTCTTTCCAGGGCATCATTTTGCCTCATATTCATAAGGGAAAAAATAAGCTGGGAAACATTTTCCTTTACCTTAGAATTCCAAAGAAAAATAAAATTCAAATGAATATAATATTCAAGTATCTATATTACTTCTACTTCATAAACACAAAAAGCAGAGTGCCCGATTTTAATCTAGACTCTAAGGAACTTGAGGATTTAGAATAGTCAAGAAACATTTATTAAGATCCCACCATTCTGGGTACTAAAGGTGTACAAAGTTTAGGTAAGACAAGGTCCCTGCCCTCATGTTGGAGCTCACAGTCTAGTAGAATAGGAAATAGACAACTATCATATGCAATACCACATAATGAGTGCATCAGAGAACAGTGAAAAGTACTTTGTGGAAGAGGGGGGAGAGGTGGAAGAAGATGGAAGGTTAATAACAACTGCGAAGCTGGGAAGGCTTCATGTAAGAATTGACATTTGAGTCGGGCTTTTGGAATTTTCAAGCAGAGCTGGGGAGAAGGCCATTCCAAGAGTAGGAATCATATAAGCCAAGGCACGGAGTCGAGTGATGCTGTCTGGCTGGAGCATAGTGTTCGTTGTGGGCAGTATGAGCGGTTAGTTGTTTACAATCTCATTTGAGTGGAAATATGTCTTTGTCATGGAACTAGGTTAGATCTAAGGAGGAATTTTCTGACAATGAAGTTGATTAAAACCGAAAATCAGTGCCTGATGAAGCCTAAGAAATATCCCTAGGAAGCCTTCTTCATCTCCATATTGGTCTAAATGCAATTGTTTGCAAGACAATTGACCAAGCCACATCATATTTAATGTGATGGTAAATAATTTTTTTTTAACTTAATAGGCCTACATTCCATATTTTTGGCTTTCCTTTGAATTTCTCCAAGTATTCCCTGATTGAGTATATTGCTTTTCTTAGTGTCTGACTAGCACATATCTGAGAGGATTACCTGTTTCCCAGTCTTTCCCCAGCTTAATAGATCAGTATTGGTGACTCATCCAGTTTCATAACTACTATAAACTTGTCATACTCTTTTTTTTTGGGGGGGGCCTAGGCAATGGGGTTAAGTGACTTGCCCAAGGTCACACAGCTAGTGTTGTGTCTGAGGTCAGATTTGAACTCAGGTCCTTCTGACTCCAGGGCTGGTGCTCTGTCCACTGTGCCACCAAGCTGCCCCTGAACTTGTCATACCTGTACAAGTCTATACCTCCCATTGCAGTGGTGTTCCCCTGCTAAGGAGATTACTCTGTACTTGGCCCTACTGGAATACTGTATTCACTTACATTCTACTTGCTTTCAACCTCTTATCTAGTTTGAATTCTTATTCTGTTCTCTGAGGAGCTTACCAAACCCCACAAAGCCCAGTTTCTACTAAAGATATAATGAGCATATTCTTTTGTCAGAGACCATTTGCAAAAGTATTAACACTGACCCCTCCTGCCACAGCCATCAATGATACATTACATAACCCCAGCTTAAAATTTAAAATTTGCTTCCCCTTGCACACAAATAGTTGTGTGATTGTCTAAATGTTTTTCCTTTTTTTTTTTTTTAAATTTTCTGCATGTGTACTTTGGAAAAGAATGAGTCCGTTGAAGGCAAAATAGATATCATTCTTTTTCAGTCTGGTGAGCCAACTACTTCATCACAAAATAACTATGGGATCAGAGTTGGAAGGGATCTCAGAGATCTGGTGGTTCCTTCTATTGGTTCTAATTCTTACTTACAACATCACAAATGTGAAAATATGTTTAACAGGAATGTATATGTATAGCCTTTATCAGATTGTGCGCTATCTTGGAGAGGGTGGTGGGAAGGAAGGGGGAGAAAAATTTTAAACTCAAAAGCATATGGAAGTAATTGTTGATAAATCAAATAAATTAATAAATTAAAAAAGGCTCCAGGGCAATTTAAAGGTCTGTCAGGTGGCATCTGATGTACAAGGCTACACACACACACACACACACACACACACACACACAATAAGCTAGAGCAATCAGAAGCTTTATATCTATTTTGCTAAGCTATTTCATGAACATTACTCTGGAAAAGGCTAACAATTAAGTCCTGGGTCATAACTACTTTATCAGAAACTAAATGCATCTATGTAATCCTAACCATGTCCGGATCAATTAAGCAACAAGTATTTATTACATGCTCACCATACGTCAAGCACTGTGCGAGGCACTGGGGATACAGACTTGGAAAACACAGATAACCAAAATGATCACTACAAGTGAGCTGAAATGAGAGCAAACTCTGGAAAGGAAGGCCTAAGAGATAAACAATGTGAAATAACTGTGAGGTAGCCAGTATTAGTGTCCCCATTTTATAGATGAGCAGAATGAGGTACATAAACAGCTAAGTGACTTGTTGGCAGTCAAAAAACTTAAGAAGTGTCTGAGTTGGGACCCAGGTTTTCTAGCCCCTACCCCATACTAGGCCATACTGCCTCTCACCTTCCCTGCCAAAGGGACTGAGTCAATTAAGTACCAAAAACATTTTATGAGGTGGCTTCATCTAGAAGATAGCCCTGCAACATGAACCCCAAAGGCAAAATCATTAAGGCGAATGTCATCTTTTAAAATTTAAATAACAGTGTGAAGATTGGAAAGACACTACTGTACCCAAATCCTAACACTCTAAGTAAAACATAAAGCCCTTTAGAAGTATAAGTTATGATTACTAATTGCCTGAAATGGGATCTTTTCAATGGCTCCCTCTAAAATGCCTTTGCTTTGCCAAAACCCTTAACATGACACCAACCTATCTTTCCAGTCTTAACTTACCTTAACTCTTTCCCATATTCTACCAAAGTACACCACTTTCCAACATCAATACATGTCCCACACTTTTTAATATATGTGTGTGTGTGTGTGTGTATATATATACACACACACATATACACACACACTTCAATGCTCTTCAATGTGATCAAAGGTATAGAGGCCGAAATTCTTGCTAATCCACCCCCAAGTTGAAATCCTATCTCACACATTCGTGTTACTATAGTTATTTGTGCATGCCACATACTCTTGATAGGATGTAAACTCCTAGGGGTCAGGCACTGTTTCACTTTTCCCTTTATATGGCTTGCCTATCAAGTACCTCAGTGATTAATAAATGCTTATTGAATTAAATGGAAACTGGTTAAAAGAATCTGATTAATATTCCTCATTTAGAGGAACCTGTGTCATGGCTGAATTTCAAATTTATACCTGCTCCAGTTTATTTTTAATTCTCATTTCCAAATAACCAAAAATTAAATCACACAATCCTTGTTTCATTTAGAATTAAATATGACCTTAAAAGCACTAATATCATTATTATAAACTTTATTGGAAAATAAATTTTACAGTAAGGAGGTATGAAAAGAATGTTTTGATTACTAGACTATTTTAAGAAATTGTCCTGCCTCACTATTATGAGAAATCACAATTTATTAGCAATTTCAATATAAGTAAAGGATAAATACTGACATATGCTCTACTGATGTAATCTTTTTTTTTTTAAGAATACATATTTTCAGTTGGAGTAAATAAGAGTCAATGATTTGGATTTTTTTAATTTGGAAAAGAAAAAAATTAAAACATTACTTTAGGAACTATCTATTTGAAAGGAGACAAATGACATTTGATAATAAAATTATGAGAATTCCATTCATAACAATTTCTTAAAGATGTAAAATTGAAGGCCTGTTCTTCACAATTATTTTCATCATAAAACTTTCATCATGCTTCTTTATTATGTACATGCTTACATATAAGTTTTTCTTGGCTAAAATACATGCAAACAACAACACTATAAACAGGTTAAATCAAAAAAGTCTATCAACTTTAAGAATGCCCCTTCACATAAGGCACTCACATTTGGAAATAGAATATAGCAACCAAATTAAATAAGATTTTTAAAAGATGCCTTTAATTAAGCACAAACAGCTTTTAATATATTATCAATACAAATAGGAAAAATGTCTTCTTAATGACTGATATATCAAAGACCTTATAGGTTGGCTGTATATTGGCACAATAAAAATAATCAATTTTGAAGAATTATAAAGTGAAATTATGAGGACACCACTGTCTACAAATAACGATTTACCTACAGCCTAAATTTACTACATCACCTGGGGAAAGAGAGCAACTATTTTTTTTTGTGGAACTTTTATTAGCACCATTCAAAGCTTACATCAGCTGCTCCTTTAGCAACTGACAGGTCAGATAAAGCTTTAGAGCAAGTTTTCAGTGCAATGTTGATAGTTCCTTCTCATCAGATACTTGGGAGTCTATGGTTTCAAAGCATGTTAAATAATTATGTCTTGGTAGATGTAGAGTGTTAACAGGTAGAAAGCAATGTCTACTGGGAAAAATGAGGCTTATATTGGCTGTGAAATGCATTTAATGAATTATATCAAATGCTGAAGTATGCAGAGAACATGCCAGGTTACAAAATTGAAGCCTTGTTATCAGATGATATCTATTAGCTTTCTGTGATGGTAGCTTCTGGGTGCCTCAGCTGCTGTCTTTTCAGATTAACAAGTTTCATCCTTTCTCTGATATGTTCTGCTGTAGAAGCCATGTCACTTGGACTTCCAAAATACTGTTCTGTTCTAAAAAACAAAACAAAATAACATATTCAAACAATTTCACTTGGATTAATGCATATATATATTTAACCACAAAACACTTATATGTGTGACAGTTCAGTAAACAAAACAAAATCCACTAGAAAACAACGGAGACATTCTAGATTTGAAGTGGGATTTCTATGTAAAAATAGGCTAGTTTTTCCATATGGGCTTTAAGGGTACACTCAAGTATCAGAGTACTGCTCTTTTTCTTTTGGTTCAAATGTAAACACATATGTACATGTCCGAATAAAGTATACCTCTTTCCTAATAAATGTAGGCTCCTTGACTGTACGGACAGTCTTTATCCCCACCTTCAGCACAATGCTTTGCACAAAGTAAGTATTTAATAAGTGATTTATCTGTTCATTCATTCTTTCAATTGAATTCAATGTTAGGATTCTGCCTAGGACACAGGAAAATGAATTCAAATTTATCTCACATAGAAATGCAATGTCTTTCTGAGAGACCATTCAACGTCTCCTGTCCAATGAGCTGATCCAATAAAAACTGTAAAACTTTTTCAATTAGATACGGCAAGATGGAAAGAGTATTGCATAAAGAGTTAAGTTTTCTAATTTCAGGTTTGCTTCTATCTCACTGGATAACCTTGGGAAGGCCACTTTGCCTTAAGACTTCAGTTCTCTCACATATAAAATGAGGAGGTTAGGTAAGATGATTTCAAAGGTTTCTCCTATGTCTGACATCTTATCTTCATCGCTATCAACAAGCATTCATAGAACGTTTCACAAAGGACAGAGTAAAATGTAACTATGAAATACATACACTTGCAAATATATGGACTTTAGAGGACAAAGATATTCTAAAATTGATAAATAAATGTAGCAATCTAAGATTTTCCTTTTAAAAGATCTTTAGGGAATTTATTGTCAAGGACAGGAGACAAAAATTCACAATACAAATTCAAAACAGGATAGAATATTGGTTCATAATGTTGGTGGGGTGAGTAAAATTCTCATTATAGTTGTTATTATTTGTGGGGAAAATGCCAGTAGGAATGTTCTCATTTACCACTTAAATAATGAGAAGTAGTATGATAAGGTCTTTGTTATAAGGAATGGCTCTCTGGGATGGGAAGGAACAATTATACAGCATGACGTTGGAGTCCAAGTGTGGTGGTTCTATTGTCCTTGATGGCTGAAAGTTTATTCTGATAATCTTTGCAGATATTTTCCATTTTCCCATTTGTTTGCTGGTCTCCTTCCATTGTCATCCTTAAATCTAGATGACTGCTAACTGGAACTCTTGCTAAGCTTTCTTTAAATTGCTTTTTATCCTCTGATGCTGTTTATGTCTTCATAGAGTTGACACCGTAATCGTACATTATCTGTCTTTGTAAAGTTTTCCAAACAAGATTATATTCTAAACAGTTGTTGCCTTTGGCCACCATCTCTCCCCACTTGGCAAGCAAGTAGTAGTAGGCTAAGGCACTTTTCACACTCTTTCCATCTACCTATGGCAAGTGATTGCCAATGGTTAAACTTCCACATTATTAAACTTCTGTATAACATTATAATGTCTACAATTGACTACTTATTTTGCATATTTTAAGTACTTGCTTAAATAATTCAGGATTCAGTTATTTGCATCACATGCTATACCTTATTATCCTTTGTCTATAGCTTTTTACCAATTTTGTTCTTTGCTCTTGACAAGTTGATGGTCTGATATGAACACAAACAACAGATTTAAGGTTGTCTTCTCTGTCTATCACACCATCTCCAAGCCCTGCTGCCTGCATTCTGGCCTTTCTCTTCCCTCTAGACCTCACATGCTTGCCCCTGGGATCCTGGGTTGTGACACATCAGCTGTCAACTTTCTTGCCTGTAATCAGGCAACTAGGCCACTTCTCAGCCATCTCCCCCTTCAATTTTATACATGTTGTCTTTCCCTATTAAAATGTAAAACTCTTTGAATGCAGGGATAGTCTTGCTTGTTTATATTTATATCCGCAGAGCTTAGCACAGTACATGGCAATTAGTAATTGCTTAATAAATGCTTTTTCATTCATTTGTTCATTTACTTCTATGTCCAATGTCTACCAATTCTTTTCTTAAAAAAAAAAACCAAACTATTCGTTACATGAGCCTTCCTGTGTAGTGTTTAAGTCCCTAGTCTCTCTCATTCCTTTTTTCCTGATCCATGCTTTTCAAGTTATTACTCTCACCATACTCACACATTTCTGCCTTTGCAATGAAATAAAAAAGTATAAAATGATACGTTGACTTAATTTGGAAAGTCTTATAGAATTCATAAAAAAGCAAGAGACCTGAGAAGCCATTTCCAATTCTCATTTTACAGATGAAGAAACTGAAGCCCAGGGGGGTTGCACGACATCCCAGATCAGGCATGGATTTCCACGTCAAAGGATTTGTCCCCAAGTGGGCAGCTTTCTGGTGATGAGCTTCTGTGTATTTCAGAGGAGTTCTTGGAAGGCAGACTCAGTCTACTGCCACAACTAGAGTCTTAAAGCTTTTCCTACGTAACAGCACTGGCCAGAGCTAGTGATCCACTGGCACAGCCTCTGTGAATCCAAGGTCACCTTCACATCATTACCAGGCAGCACAGCAGGACTCTGAGTAAGAGCCAATCTTTATAAACAAAGAAAAAGCTTTTCCTTGTTATTAGAATCACACAGATGTTGTTTCTATGCTGGCTCTGTTTGCTTAGCTATTTTTCATTCTAACAAGGGAGGTTTCTAGAGGAGATGCTACTGGGAAGTGACTGTAGTGTTAAAAAAAAACCACACACACACACACACACACACACACACACACACGGCATTAATAAATGTTGAAGACCAGACCACATGTCAGCCTCTGCTTACTAGGGCATTTAGCCATTGTTTTTACACACATGAAAAAGAGACATTTCTAACAATGACTTCATGGTATAACATAGGAGAACTCCTGGAAATGCTGGAATTTATTAAGATGCTCTGCCAGACCAGACTACTAGACACTCCCCAAACTGGACACTCTATTCCTCATATTTGGGTTACACTTCTGACTCATCTCTGCCTCAGGAGTGCTGCCTTTAGGACACAGTGACACAGTAGATATAATGCCGGTTCTAGAGTCAAGAAGACCTGTGTTCAAATCTGTATGAACCTGGACAAGCCACTTAACCATGGTAAATCTCACTTTACTTATCTATCAAATAAGGACAATAGCACCTACCTAACAGGATTGTTGTGAGGCTCAAATGAGATAGTATATGAAAATACTTTGACTTGAAGCTTTATATAAAAAGTATTTTAAAAGTCCCTGCCTTTCTTCACGACTGTGATCTACTCTCCCCACAGTCAATGCTTCTCTGTCCACAAATTATTTTATATTAGACTTATTCCTGAACCTAGAAACAAAGGGTCCTACAGGCAGTGCTGAAAAGACCCAAGAGATCATCTAGTCTAATCCCTTCATTTTACAGATGAAAAAGCAGCAGTCCACAGGTGAAGGGATTAGCTCAAGGTCATATATGTTGATTGGTTATTGTCCTTCATTCTTGAAGAGGACCAATCACTATATAGTGGGTCACTATATCAGGGTCAAGGTACAGTATGTCCAATTGTCACTGATCAGATCAATGTGAGCTTGGAAGGCTCTATCAAAGGTCAGGCACAAAGAGTCCATATGAACATGTGGGGTGGAGATGTCTCTAAATTTGCACATCTCATTTTTCTTTTGAGTTACTACAATTCTGCTTTGCTCATAGAGTACAGTGCCTTCCTCTGATGCGGGCATGCTATGCTGGGCAATCCTATACCAGTGTCTCCCATGTATCGCAATCAATTCCAAAGTTCTTCAGAGAGTGTCCTTGTATTACTTCTTCTGATCTCCATGTGAGTGCCTGCCTTGTGTGAGTTCTCTATAAAATAGTCTTTTAGGCAAACATACATTTGGTATTCAAACAACATGGCCAGCCCATCAGAATGGTGCTCTCTGCAGCAGAGTTTGAATGCTAAACAACAGAGCTGCCATTTCAAGAAAACTCACCTGACTGGCCACACCTGGATCTCACCATTATACACAAGGGTCCATTTCCCTAGTTAAAACCTCTCTTTGACCATAATCTATTACCACTCCATTTCTCCTCAACACTTCTCTCAAACAGTCTTTACCCTCATCAATACCTCCAATTCCTCTATTCCTCAGTATTTTCTCAGACTGTTATTCTTGCCACAACTTTACATTTTCTCTGTCCACTCTTGATGCTAGTTAGCCTGTTCCACACTACACTGTCTTCTACTCTGGAATCCCCTGTTCCTTTGCCTTACTGCTGCTCATCTTTTGCCAAACCTCAGGCCTGGACTGCTCACACTCATGTGCTACAAAATGGAACTAGAAGTCATAAACCATGCTGTCTGGGTACACTATTATCTCATATTATCCAACTTCAACTGGGCCCTCACTTTAGCAAGGCAATAGTTTTATTCTTGATTGATTTCTTATCTCACTCCCTAAAAAAGATTCTTTTTTTTTTTTTTACAAACCTTATGTCCTAAAGTGTCCCACCCCGTACCCTTATCCTCTTCCCTCTCTACTAAATAAGAATCTCAACTCTTACCTTACTGAGAAGACTGATGTTAATTTATGTGAGCCTCTTCTTTTCCCCTTCTCTTCACCTAAAAACCCCTTAACTTCAGCTCACACACTCTCATTTTTCACCCTGGTCAATGACATCATCCCTTTCACTCTTCCCCCCACTTTTAATCTTCAACCTATACCTCTTTACTGGTCCTTCAAATATGTCCAAGTATCATCCATCCTTATAAGACCCCTCAATAGACCCTATGAGCCTTACAAGGCAGTGCCCAAGGCTCTCCTCTCTTTCTCAGTCAAACTGACTGAGTTCTATCTACTTGCTTCGCACTATTTGTATTCCTCTTGGTTATTCTTCAACTCTTTGCACTCTGGAATGGGGTGGGAAAGTGTCCTCATATCTTTTCTTTGGGACCAAATTTCTTCTTTATAATTTTACAACATCGTTTTGATAGTTTTGTCACGGTAGTTGTTTCCATTTACATTTTTTTTTCAGAATTTTAGTTTTTCCCTCAGTTACACGTAAAAATAATTTTTAACGTTCATTTTTAAAACTTTGAGTTACAAATTCTCTCCCTTCCTCCCTCTCCCACCCTCCCCCTCACTGAGAAAGCAAATAATTCAATATAGGTTATATGTGTGTAATCATGCTAAACATATTCATAATACTCATGTTGTGAATCCATTTACATTTTTATAGTTATTCTGTGCATCAGAGATTCTTAATTTGGGGTCCAGGACCTTTAAAATAATTATAGTTATATTATATATTTTTATAATTCTTAATTTTTATAAATTTTTATTTTATGTGTTTCTTATATTCATTTTTATAATTATGCATTTTATATTATTTTTTGCTTTAAAATTTTATATAATTCTGTTTTATAAGTTTTATAACTATTTTTATAATTTGTATTTTTGTGATAATTTGTATAATTATATTTCAACATACTGGCTTCCTTTGTAATCTAAGAATCTTATTTTATTCATTTAAAAACATTATTCTGAGGAGTCTGAAGGCTTCACCAGACTGACAATGGGGTCTGCAACACAAAAAAGAGCAAGAACCTCTGGTGTGTAGTATTTCCTCTGCTCTCCTTGCTTCACTTTACGTTATTTCAGATAAGTCTTTTCAAGCTTGCTGTTTCTTACATTAATGTAATACTCCGTCACATTCTCAATGACATGTTCAATCTACTTGTCTTTTTTTTTTTTAGTCCTTATTTTTCTGGAACTATCTGACACTGTTACTCCCCAAGAGACTCAATTGTTAAATTGGTTTCTAAAAATCATACTACCTTTCTATTATCAGGTTATGTTCACTTAAGTGTTCACGGAATACAATAACAACAACTACTACTGACAACATTTATACAGTGCAAAGTAGTTTATATATGTAAGCTTATTTTAGCCTCAAAATTACTCAACAATGTATAACCTAAATATAACAGAAAAGCCAAGTGGATCCAGAATGTCTATTATCCAGACTAAGATATAAAATTGGAAGTACAGCACATAGAGCAGATCCATTAGTATGTAAATCTTAAGATAAAAGCTGAAGATAGATAGTGAACTGGGCCTGGAAGTGAATAGGAGGAAAGTGGGATGGACTGCATTTGGAAAACTGTGAAATGCTTTTATAGCTCCAAGATTCTTCTTGAAACAAATTCATCTTCTGAACACCCATCTTATAGTCATGCTATATGGCTACACACCATGAAATATCAGAGCATCCAAGAAATTAAAAGTGATGTGTAGTAAATGTCCTTAGGGGACATAGATAGGGATAGATAGCACTATCAAAGAACTGCACACAAAAATGGAATGTAAAAAACGGTATTGGGGCAACTGGGTGGCACAGTGGATAGAGCACCGGCCCTGGAGTCAGGAGGACCCGAATTCAAATCCGGCCTCAGATACACAACACTCATTAGCTGTGTGACTCTGGGCAAGTCACTTAACCCCAATTGCCTCACTACCCAAAAAAAAAAAAGGCAATAAACATATGGTGTAGTAAACCCTGCACTTGGAGTTTCAGGTGCTAGCTTCCTCACTTGTTACAGGCACGGTCTTGGGCAAATCACTCTCCCTCCCTCAGTCTCCGTTTCTTCATGTGGAAATAAGAGGGTTGGACTAGATCACTTCTAATATTATTCCCAGTTCTCATCTTCAGAACCCCGTAGTTTCTAGTTATTTGTGGTACACACCCTGCCAATATGGGTCAGAAACATTTACCATAAATGGAACTGTTTTCATATGTAGATTTAAGTAAAGTTAATTCTAAGCATTTTAAAAGAGAACAAAATCTTTTAAAGCAATATAAAAGCAAAGGTACAGTTTATTTTTATTCACAAAGAAGCAAGAAGGGGGGGGGGCAGCTAGGTGGTATAGCAGATAGAGCACTGGCCCTGAAGTCAGGAGGACCTGACTTCAAATCCAGCCTCAGACACATAACACTTACTAGCTGTGTGATTCTGGGCACGTCACTGAACCCCAATTGTCTCACTTAATAAAAAAAAAAAGCAAGAAAGGGAAATATCATTATACTTTTTTATTTAACCATACTTGAGATAAAATTTGCTTTAATTTATAATTATAAGGAAAGTCTAAATCTTTTTTTTTAAGCTAAACAGGGACACCTACCAGTCCTAGTTTTAATGACCATCAAAAGATGATTCATTTAATGTAAGCATGCATCTGTTATCTGAACATACTGCTATTGGTGATGGTTAGATTTCTCCCTTTTTATTTGGTCATAGAAAGATTCCATTTAGTTCTGGAATCACTTCTTCTAGGAATCAAACCTTTGTTCCAAAGTTAATCTATATGGCTTGTTTAAATGGCACATTTTTCTCCTTTGATGATTAGATGACAAGACTTAACAAAAGTGACATAGATTTTTAAGAACATGAATCATACCCATCAGGATAAACTACAGGCACAGTTAATCTATCCAAAAGTGATTTCCCAACTGCTTCCATTTCATCAAATTGCTCCTCATCATTAATAGCTTCAGGCTCTTCTGGACATTCTTGCAAAATCTGTAATAAACAAAAAGATAACATGAACAAAAAAGGAACCAATCTTACGCAATTCCGGTAGCTTGAATGCCTTTATGCAATTCTAGTAGATTGAATACCTTTCCTTTTTTGTATATTTTCAAACGTATTTGTGCAAGATCAACCTACTATAAGCAAAGTTGACTTACACAATCCAAACAGAAAATTTAAATGTTTAGCTCTCACTTATGAAATGAGGCTGGAAAAGAAGACCAATTATTTTTTCCAGGCATACTTAAAACTGGACACTGGGCAACTGTGGGAAGAAATTTCAATTCCATTTATAATAAGTGTGAGTAAATGTGAGTTGATGTGAGAGGCAGCATGTCCCTCTGGGTTCAGCAGTTAGCACGGTATCAAGAAGATCTTGGATCAACTCCTACCTTGGACACATAATAGCTATATAACCATGGGTTAGTCACTTAACATCTCAGTATACCTAGGAACTTTCTAAGACTGAAAGTTATAGATGAGTTGTTGACCTGAATAGGTGGAGACAGTTTATAAACTAAGAGAGCCCCACCACAAATGAAATTATAGGTGAGGCCAAAAAAAAGGAGAGGGGAGAGTTTGCATATGTTATTAAATACCAAAATGTTAGTTACATGAATTAATAACTAGTGTGACCAAAAAAGGCAGCTGGGCAGCGCAGTGTATAGAGGGCCAGGGCTGGAGTCAGGAAGACTTGGGTTCAGATTCAGCCTCAGACACTTACTTCCTAGCTGTGTGATCCTAGGCAAGTCACTTAATCCTGTTTGCCTCAGTTTCCTCATCTGTAAAATAAGCTGGAGAAGGAAATGGCAAACCACTCCAGCACCTTTGCCAAGAAAAAAAGGGGTCACAAAAAATTGGACATGACTGAAAAAAAAATCACTACACAAAAACTGTGATGGCATGAGCAGTACAGCTTCTTACAGTTAAAATAAACAAAAACCCCAGCTCTGCCTAGAAACAAAGTTTCTTTATTTGTACTTTTCAGCCACATATATTTTTCACTGTGTCCTGTTTGATCACTTTTTGCTATTTATTTTGACATTACTAGAAAGTCAAACATACAGTTGCATTTAAATTTAGGGGCTGATATATAATAGTTGATGGGAATAACAGATTAGCAAAACTTTTAAGCAATGAAGCTTTTATCTATATTCAAAGTAGTTCTTAAGAAAAACATTGTTACATTCTAGTTATTTATGACAGATGATGGTCTATTTATTCAATAAGCATTTGACTTTTTACATACTATGTGCACAGTACTTTTTACGTATTATAGGATACAAAGGAAAAAAATCATACTTTATGGTGCTTACAATCTAAGGAGACAAGACATTTATATAAAACAGAATGATGCTAAGTCAATGAATAAGCAACTGTATGATATTATAAACAGTCTATATACCTAACTCCTAAGGAAAACCAAAGGTGAAAGGTCACAGTGAAGTAGGTTTAACTAGGGAAGGCTTCAGGGAGAAAATTAATCTTAAGCTGGGCACTGAAGGATTCTAGGATTTAAATTAATGGGAAAAATGGGACAATTCACATTAGGAGAGAAACAGCATGAGGACAGGGATTATTATTTTTTAATCTTTGTATTCACAGTACCCAGCAATATTTCTTGCATACCGTAAGCTCTTAAAATTAGTGAAGACACAAAGGCAGGAATGAATACATGAAGAGGAGGGATCTAGCTGGAGTCAAGATGTTATGCAAGTAAGTACTGGGAACTAAGCTGAGGCTAGTCAATGTAGGACCTTGAAATCTGTCACATAATGAAGACGCCAGAGTAGCTATTTATGATATGCCTGCAGTTTGTATAAGGTGCCAGGAAGCAACCTGATTATGGAAAGGTTCAAAATTAGAGCAGTTGTAATGAAGGATCAAAGATAGAAAGCTAGCATTTGTATTGAGTGACTGAAAGTTGTTTTGTGTTTGATAATGATGATATAGATAGAGGTCTTATCATGAGAGGTTGAAAAAAGTGAACAGAAAACAAATGAGTAAGGAAAGGAAAAGAGAGGTAAGACACAGTGCGGGAACCAGTACACTCTGATCCAAAAAGGGCATAGAGAGAAGCTTAGGAAATGCCTGTGTTAGCTGCCAAGGACACGTTTGACTCAGGAGAGCCGTTATCTTTTCTCCATTCTCTCAGTTACTTCATCAGCTCTCATGTAACCTAAGTTTAACATAGGTATAAGTAAAGCATGAACAAAGCAGGAAAATAGATTAATTTCTCATACTATTCTGCCAAAAAAGCCCTCCCTCTACCTTATTCTTTTTACTTTGCAGGACCTTACATTGTAAACCTTACAGGCTTACACAGTATGGTACAGTGGAATAGGTAGGGTTTAGAAGCCCAGGTCTGTTACTTGCCACCTGTATGACTTATGCAAAAAGTGTTTAAGAAACAGTTTTTCTATGAGGTCTGAGCAGGGAAAAGGGCATTACTGACTAGGAAGGCTTCCCAAAGAAGGTGGAATTTAAATTGGGTCTTAAGGAAAGGCTAATGATTTAATCTGGAGGTGCACAGAAAAAGCTGGGAAGTAAAGATGGTATTCCAGGCAAAAGGAATAGCATGAGAACAATGCACAAATAGGAACATGTGAGGCAGGGCAATTAGTCCAGTTTGCCTGTTACATAAAATATGTGGGTGGAAGAATTAGGCATTAAGGTTGGAGTGGGATCCAAAGTGGAGGACCTTAATTATTAGACAATGACCTCTAAATTTTAGTTACTTTACTTATAGGCAAAAGGGAGCTAAAGATGGGCTTTGAGAAGAGGAGTGACAAAATCACATCTATATTTGAGGGAGATAAATCTGGCAATAGTGTGAAGAATGATTCAGAGAGTAAATGAAAGCATTTTTCATTCATTCATTCAAACAGAAACACTTATTAGGGGACCATTATAAGCCAAGCAAACCTATGCTTGAGTGATGGCAATGGAGATAGAAAGGAAGGGTGTGGGAGAGATTACAGATGTAAAATCAATAGGACTTGGCACTAATTGCCTGTGAGACCATAAAATTTTGATGCGGCAAAGTAACTGTATAGTGGTGCCACTGACATAAGCAGTGAAGTCAAAAAGTAAGGGACAATTTCAGGGAAACCTGGGAAGACTGGTAGTAAGTGATATGGAATGAAGTAAATAGAATCCAAAGAATAATTTCTAAAGGAACAACAACATTATAAAGAAAAGCAACTTTGATCAATGCAATGACCAACCATAACTCCATAGCACTGATGATGAAACACTCCACTCACTTCCTCAAGAGGAATGAGATGAAGTCAAGGTACAGAATACATTTTGGATGTGGCAAATGTGTGGATCTGTTTTCTTTGACTGTGCTTATTTGTTACAAGAATGGTATTTTTCTTTCTTATTTGGGAAGTAGATAAGTTAGCGACAGTATTACCCAGACAAAAAAAGTCATTGAAACACTTTTTAAATGTACAGAAGAACACAGAAGGAAACTCAAAAGGAAATATAAATAGAACATGTAGGATTTATTATATATTTTTAAAAAGTAAGTTGTATGCAATAAATTTCTAGTTTCACACACAATTCCCTTTTCCTATACTAATTTGTATATGGAAGTGTTCTTCCAAGGTAAGTCCCATCAACCATACCTTTAAAAAAAAATTCCCATAAATCTAAAGTGATCTAAATTAGATGACCTCCTGATACCCTCTTTTAATGCTGAGTCTATTTACTGGAGGAGATCAAAATAAACAAATGTGATATATGTATCATTAAAGCTATTCTTCAGTGCAGAAATATATTTTGTTTTCTCTGTATTTCCCATGGGTTATCAATTTCAGCTAAAACAGGGTTACTGTTAAAGCTATATACCAATAATAATGCAGGTTTTACTTACTAGCTTCATGCAATACTATTGATTCCCAGAAGAATGAACACTAGAATGAATCTAGGTAAATAAGCGTATTTATCATAAAATAGTGTGCTTTTTATTTGTATTTGATTATTAGACATGAATATTAAATAGAACTCTCTTTAGTAACAGTACAGCTGAAAAAGAAAATCTAACCTTTTCGGCATTTGAATGAAATGCAATAGCTATCTCCAACCTATGTGCTCTTTCTTCAGATGCTATTGTAAACTGTTTCCACACTCGGTTCAGCCTAGGGAGTGTGTCACCAGATGACCGGGAAGTGCATCGCAAAGACTGGCACAAGACAACTGTAGCCTGGAGCAGTTGCCTCCCATAGTCATAAGTGCTCTAGAAAGAAAAAAGGAAAATCAAGTTATAAAGTAGGAACTTTAAATAGATGCCTTAATTTAGACAGCATTATGGCACAAAACACAACTAAGCTCGTCTAGTAAAATTTATTATTACATACCATTTGTATGAATATTTTAAAGAATACATTTTTTAAAACATACTTTGCTTATTTCTTGTTTGAAATTCTAATTATTAAAAACATACCCATCATCTAATCCTGCTTTATCTTTTTCAGTCAACTCAATTAAAAAGCTCTATCACAGTATGATTAGTATAAAAATTAGTCATCACTGCACATAAACTGATCAAAAGAACTGAATGAAATGTAGCCCTTCCTATATACATATGAAACACACCTGTAATAAATTTAGCTCAAGTTTTTACTGAATTATAACTATAGATAGTTCTTGCTTTATGTAAATTTGCATTACACAAACTCGACTTTTCATAAAGAATGCTGAAAGAAATCTGCAATTTCAAAAGTCCCACCTATTTTAACTTTACTGTACTCTCTCTCCACTCCTGCCTTTAGGCTTGGTGCTCCATGGCCTCTTAGCATCTCCCACCAAAAACCAACCAAACAAACAAAACCTTAAAAAAAAAACTCTTTAAGTGAAAGCAGGCATCTGCAGCCACTGCTCGATGTGGGGGCTTGAGACCCCCACGAGGAGACTTTTGTCCTGCTCTGCCCACCTGCCCACATGTCCAACTCCACATATCTGTTTCCATCTGTCTGTACTTGGTACCATGTGTTTGTCATTGGTCCCTGCATGTCCCTCCTCCTGCTCTCACTTCTCTGTCCCCAGCCCCTTCCCTACCTGGGCACATGGCCCCTTTTCTGTTTCTGTACCTCACTCACTTCCCCAAATCCATGGGCAAATTTGAATTATGTAAAAATTGCTTTACACAGAGGTCTGCAGAACAGTCTACTTAAGTAAAATGAGAATTGCCTATTATTATGACTATAAAGCGTACAATAGGTGCCAATGTGCATTGTTAGATAGAAATTCAAATACTAATGAAATCATAGGTCTGGTCAATTGAAAAACAAAACAAACAACAAAATTACAGATGAGTTGCCAGTCTGCATTAGTAGATGAAGTTTCTATACTGCAAGCTCCCTATACTGATGAAACCACAGGTCTGGACCAAAAAATTAACTTAAAGTAAAAAATAAATACAATAATCATTTTAAAGACAATCTTGGAAATATACTAGAAATCCACTATCAGTTGCAATATCTATTATGCATGCTATTGAGCTTGAGAGAAGTTTATTACAAGTTTTTCTAGTTGTCTAATTTTACCTTGTGAATGACATGAACTTTTTTTTTTTTTGCTTTTTTGATGAGGCTATCAGGCTTAAGTGACTTGCCTCAGGGTCACATAGGTAATACATGTCGAGTGTCTGAGGTGAGATTTGAACTCAGGTCTTCCTTACTCCAAGGCCGGAGTTCTATCCACTGCACCACCTAGCTTCCCCCTTTTTAACTTATTAACTTTTCTTTTTTGACCAGGCAATGGGGTTAAGTGACTTTCCCACGGTACGCAGCTAGTAAATTTCAAGTGTCTGAGGCTGAATTTGAACTCAAGTCCTCCTGACTCCAGAGCCAGTGCTCTATCCACTGCACTACCTAGCTGTCCCATCATATTAACTTTTTAACATGAACAACTGGTATATTTCTACACATGAGATCGTGCACAATGAGGGACAGGGTAACAGTACACAACCTGTGTCCAAGGATACAAACATCCTCTCTCAAGTTTATGCAGGATAGTTTTGATGCACCAGTTGACATTTTATTTCAGCAATAATTCTAGAATAATACAACTAACCTTCTTGGACCTGGAAGGGTTAAGTTACATTATAATCATGCAGAAAGCTATTCAAACACTGAGCCTGTAGAAAAGGAAGAGAATCAGTTCTGCACCTGTGCAACATCAACAAATTTTCTATGCTTTTCCAATAAAACTTTGGTTTCCTGAGCATCATCTCCCAATCTGATGTGAGTTTTAAGTAGAGCATCCAGGAGTTCACTTAGCCATTCCACTGCCTAAATAAAGGCAAATAACAATGACATTAGATTTATTGCTTTGTATATTATCTTGTCATCTTATACAAGCTGAAGATTGCCATCATATAACCAATATAACCACTCATAAAAATGGACACCAAAAACAAGACCTCAGGTGGGGGATTATTTTTTTTGTAAGCAAAGTTTCAAATATCTTCAATCACTGCCCAATCTGTAAGAGTCAACCGCCCAGCCCCATTCTCCAATTGTTAACAATTAAAGAAATACTGAGAATTAAAATCTAAAAATATTATATGACTGAGAAAGAATTCTTGTGAAGTGCTTCTAAGTATAGATTTGTTGTTATATTAATAGAACTTTCTGTTATATGTAAATCCACAAATTCCTCCTTCAAGTAAAAACATATAATTCTGCTTTACTTTAAGTAGAAAAATTTTTACCTTGTATTTACATAAGGCTTTGAAGTTTGCGAAGAATTATCACATTTTAGCCTCACCAAAAACGTGGGAGTTAGGTGTCATTATTAACCCCATTTTACAGACAAGAAAACTGAAACTTAAGAGTGGTCAAGTGACTTGTCCAGGGGTACACAGTCACAAAGTGTCTAGAGCAGGATTTGAAGTCAGGTCTTCCTGACTCCAAGTCCAGTGCTCTATCTACCTATACATACAGACAATGATTTCCACTTGCTTATTTAGATTACAACATTACCTTTTTCTTAACAATTAAAGAAACAATATGGCAAATCAGACTTTACAATGAGAAATAACCCTGATATATGTCAACAGTGATAGCTATGTAAGAATACAAGTTCTTAATAATGAAAACATGTTTTCATTATATTCAGAAAGGTTAACCCCTCTAGGACACTTGACTGCAGAAATAGTATTCATTTGAGAATAAAGAAGGTTATTATGTCTTAGAATGGTAAGTGGATCTTTTTTTTTTATTATTCTGAACTTAAGAATCAAATCAAGCATTTCCATAACATAGTAAAATAGAAAAAAAAAAGATGACTGCATGTGAAACTGCAAATCTATTATGTACAACTTGCTATTCATTTTAAATATATATTAAGGTTATTATGTAATTTTCCTTATTTTTTCTTTCCCTCTCCCTTCCCTTCTCCAACCTAGAGATGGCTACCATTAGACATGAATCTGTAGTTCTACACCTACTTCTATTTATCAGTTCTTTCTCTGGATGTAGATAACACCTTCTTTCATAGGTCCTTTGTAGTTAATTTGGTATTTATAATAGTCAAAATGACTCAGTTGCTCAAAGTTGTTCTTAAAACAATACTGTCTCTATTTTCCCTATCTATACAAGGTCATAAATTCTACTGCTACATGTTTTTTACTTTTACAGATAAAATTTACATATATATGCATATGCAAAAAATATATATGTATGTGTGTGTGTATCTTTCTCTCTCCTTTGGGGAGGACATAAATAAGAAGTCACCCAGTATGAGTAGGCTTTAACAAATTGCATTGACAGAGGAAATGCCTGAATCAATGAGATCAAGGATCCATTTGAGGATCTGATTATTGAATAGTGTATACAGAACATATAAGATGGCTGATCTTTACCTGGGCAGCATCTTCTTCACATTTAAACAACTGAACCATTTGAAGCATCTTCAACCTTCGAACATCTACCATGTCTTCACATCTAAAGAAATTAAACATAAAGTACATTTCTGATTTATTTCAACAAATATTATGATAAAATCACCTGGCACATGCCATCCATATTCACACGTAGTAACTTACTTCCTATGATGTCACAAAATCACTACTAAGGATATTAAGTTTAAGACTAATAGATAAAAATTTAGGAACCAGTCCTCAAACAAGCACAAAACATGCCAAATATAACAAGAACTAAGCCCAAAGTATTAGGGGAAAAAGAGGTGGATTAAATGCATTGTGTACTAAAGCAGAAATTTCCACAAAGCCCATTAGTATAAAGAACTTTCTATGACCAACCAGAGTTTTTTTCTCCTGGAATAGATTTTGAGAACTCAAAGTAACCTCTAAACCATGGTAAGACATGAGAATATAACTTATAAGAGGTCAAACTTGCATAGCTTATTTAAACATTTACCTTGTTACATAATAAAAATCAGAATGAAATTTGAGATTTTAAAGCATTTCAAAATACTTTAGACATCTCTATCTCTATATAATTTTAATTTCCAGATGAAGCTATGTGAACTGTGTTTTGCACCTCAAATTTAATACTACTTTGTACACTACCAAATCTTTTTAGCCAACAAATTTACAATGTAAAGCAATATTTCAGAATATTTATAGCAAGAGAACTATCAAATACTAGAGTCATAATATTTTACATATACAGGTATATCCTACAAAACATCATTCTAACCAATATAATTTCATAATAAAGTTGTTATATTCTAAGACAGCTCCAAAGCAGTCACAAAACCCCACTGGAACATTATTCCAATTGTTATTACTTTTGCTATGTAACTATGTCCTATAACACTGTTATCCAACACGTGGTTTTCTCAGAACCAATTAGCTGGGATTCATCTGTAGGTGTGCTCATATTTACATATGGGTCCTTTTTATGATAAACATAAACATTTGCCTTTGTTTCCTAAGCTGCATATCTTCCATCACTCCTTGTATGTGGTCCACATTTTCTTTATTTTCAATAGTTACATCTTTTCCATAGGCCCAGGATGCTTGATTAGAGATCTGATCCAAAAGACCTTGACCCTTTTCACGCAAACCTTGTAATCCCACATCTAAAAAAAACAAAATTACTTTATTAAGAAGTGCTTCATGAAATAAGTTAAGATCTTTGCATTTACAAAATGGATTCACTAAAATTACATAGTTAATTATATAATGCTGTCCTTGGAGTCCATGTTGGGGAAATGCTTTAAAAGTAAAGTATTTTTGGATTCTTTACCCTCTACATATAGTCCAAAATAGATGAATCTGTTTTATACTGAATTTTACTCTACAGTGATAAGTGTTAGAATGAGATTCTAGTGTAAAACAACTCAAATGTTAAAATTGAGGGGAGAGAGAACAGGAAACAATTTCTCTTTTGGTTAATAAGTTTTTCTTATTTGAAGTTCTTTCTGACTAGGCATGTAACAACCTGATAGTTACTCCAATTGGAAAATATCAAAAACTTTTTAACATTATCTGTAAAACTGCCAATGTTTAAAAGTAAAATGACCTATAATAACACAAATAGAGAGAAAATCACTTTTTTTTTGCCTAATGGTCTTTTACAGCAATGATATAGAAATTAGGGATATGATAATGAATTTTCCCAGCAACATAGTATTCTGAATGCCTTTTTTAATAGATTTGGTAGATTAAAACTATTAGCATGAAATTGTGTAAATATGTTTTTGAAATAAGTATAAAAAGGAGCAATAACAGTTTCTATTAAGTAAATGAGCATTTAAAATGTAAGCTTAAACTTTAGGGTATGAAGCATTTTTAATTTCGTCTTTCTAACTTTTGTGCCCAGTAGTCTCACACATATAGTAAATGCTTGCAGACTTGAATTAAAATGATATGATTTTACCTTTTTTTGCCTAAATGTGCAAATTAGCACACACTTTAGCTAGATATCAAAATTAAATATTTTATTTTTCAATCAGTGAGTACCTTCTATGTGCCCTGTGCTGTAAAAAGCACTGAGAATACAAAGACAAGAATAAAGCAGTTCCTACCCTCAAGAAGTGTTTACAGTCTGCTGAGGAGAAATCACAATGTCTTTTCTCAAATCCAATTTTCCTTCCTCTCAATCCTCAATTTTTTTTTTAACCTCCCTGCAGCACCTAACATTACTAACTACTTTCTCTCCAATTTGACACTCTCCTCTCTGGACTTTTGTGATGCTGATCTTTTGGTTTGCTTTGTTCTGTGTCCTTGTCCAGGGGTGGGGAACCTGCAATTTCCAGGGTATATATGGCCTTCTAGGGCCTTGGGTGTGGTTTTTGACTGAGTTCAAGTTTTACAGAACAAATCCTTTTATTAAGGGTATTTGTTCTATGAAGTTTGGATTCAGTCAAATGGTCGCACTTGAGGATCTAGAGGACTACATATGGCCTCAACTCCACAGGTTTCCCACCCCTCATCTTTGTCAGTTTCTTCTGCTGTATCATAATTTATATTCTGCCCCCTAAATGGGAATGCACCCCAAACCTCTGCCCTGGGCCCTTTCCTGTCCCCAATTCTCTTGGTGATCTCATCAGGTTCCATGGCTTCAAGGAACATTTTTATGCTCATGGCTCAGATCTATGTATCCAGTCCTGCATCACCATTTGCCTGTTGGACACTTCAAACTGGGATGTCCCAAAGGAAAATGTCCGAATCAGAGTTCATTATCTTTTCTGCCCAATTCTCTAACTTCCTTATTTCTATGAAGGGCACCAGGGCACCATCATTGCTCATGTCATCCAGGTTTACAACTTCAGCATCATCATCAACTCCTCACTAGCCCTCACTCTACATATTCAGTTGCCAGATACTGTAGTTTTTACCTCCACAACATCTCATATTCATCCCCTTTTCTTTAGTCACAGAGCCCTCATCCTTAGTTGAGTTCCCTTTCCCATCCACAATGGACTACTGCAATAGCCTCCTAATGGTTCTCCCTGTCTTGTTTGACTCCTCTACAATGCACCCTTCATGTGGCTGCCAGAGCAGGCTGTCACTCTGCTGCTCAACAGATTCCAAGGGCCACCTATCACCTCTAGGATACAATACAAACACCTCTGTTTGTCATTTAAAAATCTTTACAACCTGGCTCCAACCCAGTTTTTCTTAGTCTTATTGTATGTTGTTGTGCTTCACATTTTCTATGGTCCAGGGAAACTGCCTTCTTCCTGTTCTTTACACAAGACATGCCATCTTCCCTCCATTTTTCATATTTCTTAGTTCCTTCAAAGGTCAGTTGATATGTGCACATGCCATTTCCCCTGACAGAAAATGTGAGCAGGGTCTGTTTCATTTTCATCTTTGTACCCTCAATAACTTACATAGTAACAGGTACATAGTAGGTGTTTAATAGATGCTTGCTGATTGATGGACACATAAGTATACATGTAGATTACATGCAAAGAAAATACAAGGCATTTTGGGAAGATGCTTGCAACTTTGGGGAATGAGGAAAGGCCTCAGGGAGGAGACAGTAGCTAAGCTACTGTTTAAGGTAAATATAATAAGAGGTGCAGGTGTAATATAGCTAGATTTTCATTTGGGTTTCTATGTTCCTGGGAAAGTAGGGTTTAAATAATTTTTTTAATATATTATTTATAGTGAACTTTTTGGAACTGTAAGCAAATACATCTCTATTTCCATGACCATTTTCTATTAAAAATCAAATGCTTATATTCGATTTGGCATTATCTATAAAACCAGCTTTTAGCTAACACCTATGAATCTCATACACACTTCACAATTTTACCAAAAAAATCAACAATGCAATGAGATATTATGATGTTGATACTACCCTGGTTAAAATTTGAGGAAACAACTTTTATTAATTATTCATGATTTTCCAACTAGGATACATATGTAGGATTATTTTAAAGGGAGACAAAGGCTCAATGGTGATTCTAAAATTTTTTAAAATGTACCATTTAGCCTATTATGTTCAAAACATGTTAGGCTCACCAAATAAGACATAAAGTATACAATCTGATTTATATGCATAGAAGTAATTTCTAAAACTTACTGCCTTGAGTCCTTTCAAATAATAAATGAATTTAGTTTGATGAACCATCAATCACTTTTCACTATTATCATATTCCCCCACCCCTTGCTTTCCCTCTCTATTGTCCATTATATTCATATATCTTGGACCTTTGGATCCTAGATGGAGCTATGATAGAAGCTGAGATTTCCAATCAGAGGCAATTTAAGCAAGCACCATTATAGAGCGACAGAAATAACTTAATGATTTAGACCAAACTCCTTTTCAAAAAAATTGAATGTCACCTCTGCATTCTTTCACCGTGTGGGGAAAGAAATAAAGGCAGAGAACCAAGCGAATTCTTACAAGGTTAGAATATAGTAACACAAAAATTCATTTTATAAAACATATTCCTGTTTATACAGATTTACCACAAAACATTTCACATCCAAATACAGTTTATACACACATTACAGAAAGCTAGTTCATAGTACATGCTAGAGGTAGCACCTGTAGATACAGAAGGGCAGGCACGGAGGTGACAAAGATTCAGAGAAGGTGAAAATGATTGAGCACCAAGGAAAAACCAATTGTCAGCACGAACTAAATTCCCTCCAGGGAACAAAATTATTTTGCCCCATTTTTCCCAATGTGCTCCCATGAAGCAATTCAGTCAGTATAAGTTGATTTACTGTCTAAGCATGGCAATATATATATACATATATATATATAAAAAGGAAACTTATGCTTCAGCGTTTTTTAAATCTGCTTACCAACACTTTTCAGCTTCTCTTCAAGCAGTTTTAAAGTTTGCTGAATCGATGCTCCATCAGCTGGTGCTACATCTACGCACAACATCCCTAATAAGCCATCCAACTGCTGAGACAACTAAAGCAGAGGGACAGCAAAGAGATAACCCTGATGTAATCAGCATCTAATATGTTTCATGATTAATGAGGTATATATCTAATGCTGTAATAACTGCACTTGCAGTGACTAAGCAATTAAAAGACAAGTAAGAGCAATTAGAGCACATCACCCCAAACACAGAATACACAGATGCATGCACTGGGAAAACATATTGGTATTTCCAGGTCAGCAGTAGGTAAAAAGTTACTGAGGCTCAGACTTCAATTTTTATTATATTAGAATGTAAACATAACATAGTCATAATGAAATATTTCTTTTGTGTTGAGACCTATACTTGAAAATTTAAAAAAAAAATCTTGCATGCAGGACACATATAAAAATGCCTCCTTCTCCCCCACCCAAGAGACTTTGATCCAATGGCATCAACTGGATATTATGGAGTGTACAAGAATTAAAGGGGGGGGGGAAGAAATAGCAGGCACAGAAACCAGCATAAATTATGTGTATGCCTGCATGTACGGTGTCTGAGGATGAAAAACCATGAAAAGACTTACATCTTGAGCAACACCATGAAATTCAAGAGCTGCTTGTAACAGATTTTGCCTGAACTCCAGCTGACTAGCCTGGCGATAACAAACATCACTGAGCTGTTGTTGTAGGGATTTCAATTCAACAAGATCCTCCTCATCTCCAGCATTCAGAAGTGCTGCAATTTGCTGATTCAGCTCCACATACACTGCAAACCATTCCTGCAAATAAGAAGTTATAACTGAAATTAAGCATTAACTGTTGAAAGATTATACTTTTCTGTGACAAATACTCTCAAAATAATGAAAAATTTTTAAGGGGAGAGGAAATCCACATGGAGGAAGAAAGGTTGACTACTTAATTAGGTTGACTAATGCATTAGACAATATGTTCCCATGTAAAGCTGGACTCTGAAAGATGTTTTAAATGTGGTCCATTGTATTCTTACACACCTAAATTACATTTCTAGTAGAATTTATCATGGAATCACCTGTAGTACATATGTTAATACTGCACAGTAATAGGATGAATCAGAAATATTTATGAAAAGAAAATATAGGGGCAGCTAGGTGGCACAGTGGATAGAGCACCAGCCCTAGATTCAGGAGGACCTGAGTTCAAATCCGGCCTCAGACATATAACACTTACTATCTGTGTGACCCTGGGCAAGTCACTTAACCCCACTGCCTAACTAAAAAAAAAAAAAAGAAAATACATCCATTTATAGGCTACAATGTTCTAGAATCACGGCTACAAGAGATGGGAGAGAACCTTAAGACTCATCTTAGACCAATACTCCTTCTGCTCTCTCCCTCCTCCCCCCCAAGTGAGGCTCAGGGAGATGTAGAAACTTTCCAACAAGGTAATTAAGAATAGCAAGGGCTATTCTTAAGGTGGAAGAGGCTAAAGTATCCAATGTATAGTAAGACTCAATTAATAATTTATGTGGATTTTTTTAGTCCTCTAGAGAAGTCACACGATCATTTCTGAGTAAAGGAGGGACTGGAAGGTGAGGGAAATCTGGGATCTTTTTGTTTTAGTTTGCCATTTCTAAACAGGAAATACTGGAAGTACTGACCTTCTTAACATCTAAACTTCAAGTAACGTATACTGGTTTTGAGGTATCAGTGACCAAGGAGCTAGAAAAAAATAGGCTAATTCCTTGAAGTGATCAAAATATTGGCTACATGTACACATCTGAAACAAAATCAAAATGGTATACCTTAGCTGTTTACTATTCTTCTGTGGAGCTGATACCCTGCCAAAATTGAGAACGCTTCTGAATACCTTCACTGTTTCTCATAACCTGTAAATGCCCGAAATGGGGGGATGTTCCTAATTTTCATTAATTACCTAATTTTCATTAAACAAAAAAGAGCTGGCCTTGGAGTGAGAAGACCTGGTTTTGAGTCCTGGCTCTTATTCTGGCTATATATCCTTAAACAACTGCTTTTACCATGCTGAACACTGGTGTCCACACCTATAAAAAAGGGATGGCAATGATTACACTACCTACCTTATGGATTTGTTTGCAGGAAAGAGCTTTGTAAATCTTAAAGAACAACGGACATGGGAAAACTGGAACATGCCAACAGTATGGCAGAAACTAGGCACAGATCAACATCTTACACCGTATACCAAGATAAGGTCAAAATGGGTATGTGATTTAAATATGAAGGATGGCACTATCAGCAAATTAGAAGAGCAAGGAATAGTTTACCTGTTAGATCTATGGAAAAGGGAAGAATTTATGACCAAATAAGAGATAGAGAGCATTACTAAATGTAAAATGGATAATTTTAATCCTATTAAATTTAAAAGTTTTTACACAAACCAAACCAATACAACCAAGATTAGAAGGAAAGCAGAAAGCTGGGAAACAATTTTTATACCATGTGTCTCTGATAAATGAAGGCCTTATTTCTCAAATACATAGAGAGCTGAGTCAAATTTATAAAAACAAGAGCCATTCCCCAACTGATAAATGGTCAAAGGTCGTCAACAGGCAGTTTTCAGATGAGGAAAGCATGAATTCTCCAATGCTCAAAAAACTTTTTTTTTAAATCTATGAAAGTACTTTGATGGCCTTGAGAAAAAAAGGTATAATACTAAATAATTGGGTAAATTTCAAAATCAAAGTTATTTTGTTGGCCACTGGTAAGCTAATAATTACTATTACATATTAATGCTATGTGATATATGCTAAGTTAATAATGATTATATTAATATTAATTAATAATGTTATAAGCTAACACTAATCTGAGATGAGACCAAGGGCACTTTTCCTTATATTGATATACCTTCTTCCCCTAAAACTCCTAATAGGATTAAAAGTAAAATACAATGGCATTCCTCTGTATACTACACAGAGATAAACATAGTGCCTTGTATATAGCAGGTGCTCAGCAAATACTTAGTAGCCACTTGAAATCCCAATTCACATATTTCTTGATGTCAATGTTCTTAAATTTTGTATTATTTACAGTAATAGGTTTATTTTTATATTCACTTTGAAACCATATGTAACTACAGGATTACATATCTATGTCCAAGTCAACTGGTGGCATGGCAATTCAGTAATCAATAAAATGCAAATTGTATGAAGTCAAGGATCAAAGCCTTATCTATCTTTTTATTTCTTTCAGTACCCACAGCATTCTGCAAATGGTAGGTGCTTAAAATGTATTTATTGAATAAATTTTATTAATGTAGGCAGCTATCAGATTCAAAGGAAAAAAAGACAAAACTCTTACTGCCTTGTTTCCCATTAGACTCTTGAAAAAGTACACAAAGACAGAAGTTCAATTTGATTGATTTAATATTGTGAATAAGAAGGACACTTGAAGCTAGGGAGAGCAAGCTAGGAAAGAAGCAGCTACTGCTCCAAAATGGGCCACCAACAGCCATAAAAGTAAAATAAGAAGAACCCACAGCATTATTCACAAGGGAGGCAACCAAACCATTTAAAACTCATTATGTAGTTTTAACACTGAGTTAGGTAGTACTGTATGAGCTCAGTTAAAATAGAAAATAAAAATGAAGACCATAGTAAAAACCAACTACAAAAATCTGTTCCTATGGGTACTGCAGGATTACCTTGTGATTTCCATATTTATACTCCAATTGATGGATCTCAGTATCATACAGACTTGCCCTTTTAAAAATTATATTGTTGCATCATGCTCTCTCTTATGATTCACTCTAAGATCTTTTTCAGCTGTGCCCACACAATGCCAACTATTTGTTATCTTTTGATGGCACTATATGTTTTCCTTAAAGAGTAATTATTCTACTACCACAGTCACTAATATCTTTTTCCTTGATTTTAAGAGCCATTTTGGAATCCTCATCTTAACTAGAAATGAAGATGCATAAGGTAGCACACTGTCAATATGTTCAATAAAGATATGTTTCATTCTTAATAGAGACTAGAGTGTCTGAAAATTATTGCTGGAACATATGCAATTGTTCATTGTAAGTCAAAAGGTCCAAGATAGTAAGGACAGCATGTGATTTAAGGAAAATGGAATAATTCTAACTCTACCTTCTGGGAAAACCCAAAGTATCAGGTCAACACAGGCTGTCCAGTATTCAGACTCAACTCTAAGCCTCTGTCTCTAAATTCTTTATGCTTTATTCCCAAAAAAGCCAAAGCTGGCTTAAAATCTTGCATGAGATTTCTGCTTCTGTTAGGCCCTTTCTGTCTGCCCATAACTATTTACACACACATTATGGGAGTTCTCTCCTAAGGGGTTGTCTGTAAATACAAAAAGATAGTAGCACCTGGGTCACTATTTTCCTTGTTTTAATATAAAGCAGGATTGCTCGTGCTCTTTCAAGGATTTTTTTGTACAGAGGGAATTCCAGCCCTTTTTGTTGATTAATTGCTGGGACTGATTTGTCTTTTTTTCTCTGTCATTAGAACAATTAATTCTGTTATTCAGGGCTTGATTACCATTGTTTTTCAAGCTCATTAACCTTTCTCAATTTCATCCAGAAATTGGATGACTAAATATTCCTCATATGGTTAGTGAGTTATACAATTCAACCAACCATTATATATGAATATACAGATCATAGAAAATAAGAGTCCAAGGTCTTTAGACCTCAAACTAGCTTCTGATCCCAAATTTTAAAACCTAGTTCCAAAATAAAATTTCTAACAATTGCTTCCCTCGTTCCTTACTTACACCTTCCAATTTCTGCCTTTTCAGTAATGGAAGAGAAGGATACCCTATTATAATGCTAGTCCCTAAGTAAAATAAGATGGATTAATCTTGAATTCCATTGAAGAATATTTAGTTGTTGAAGTAACAAAAGCATGCCATTAAAACATAGTCAGCAACTATAATGTCCCTTGGAATAGACAGTATTATAGAAAGACTTCAACAATGACACAAAATGAAGTTTTTACAAGTTGACATAAAACCAAAACAAAAGGAGAAAGGAGAAGGAAAAAAATCTTATGAAAACCAAGCTCAGAATTTAAGTTTTCAATTAAAAGTCTCCATAGTCCACATTTACTAGCTGAGCAAGCAATGATCAATTCATTTTAAAACTACTCCATAAAAACTGTGAAAATTAAAGCTTACATTAGCTATTGGGATTTGGAGCAATTATGCAATTACACTGTTTAATCAACATTTTTTTTCAGCTGGATGACTAGTATGACAGGTCAGATAAGGCACAATTCAGACAGCAGAACTAGATGATATTCAATTTGACTTATGAAATAAAACTACCGTCAATCAAGCAATTAACAAACTTTTATTAAGTGACTACTATGTGCCAGGCAATGAGCTATTTGTTGAAGATACAAAGACAAAAAGCAAACAATACCTGCTCTGTAGGAGCTAATATTCTCTCAGGGATACTGCATGTACATGTATAGTTATATTTAAATATTTATAAAATAAATACAAGATAATTTGGGGTGGAAGGCACTAGCAATCATAATAGGAAGGCGGGACAGCCTAGGTAAAGACATGGAGACAATAAGTGGTATGTTATATAGGAAAAATAGCAAAACAGCCAATTTCCCTGAACCAGAGTATGTGAAAGGTAGTATTCTGTACTGTATTATAAAGGTATGAAAGTGGGATGGAATCCATTTGTGAAGGACTCCTGAAGGCAACAGGGAGTTACTGGGATTTTTTGAGCATGGGAGTGACAAGCTAAGACCTGTGCTATAAGAAACTAACTTTAGCAGCTGAATAAGAGAGGAGGAGACAGACTTGAAGTAGAGATTACAGTTAAGCTATTTTGATAGTCTAGGTATGAAGTGTTAAGAGACTGAATTAGTGATAGCTATATGTGTGGGGAGAAGGGAGTGAAAGTACTGTGAGAGATTCAATACGACTTGACAATTGAAAAGATATGAGAGGTGACGATGAGTAAAAAGTTGAGAGTGACTTTAAGGATGTAAACCTGGGTAACTGGAAGAAAGGTGGTGTCCTGGACAGAAACAGGAAAATGAGAAAAAGAGGTGGGAATTTGGGGATGGGGGATGGTAGAGATTGCTTTGGACATACTGAGTTTGAGAATTCAGTGTTGAAATACCCAATAGGAAATTGTGATTTAAACCTGGTGCTCAGAAGAAGGATTGAATCCTTGGGAAGTGATGAGTAACCAAGAGAGAGAGTGTAGAAGGAGAAAAAAAGAGGGAACAAAGAAGAGCTTCAGCTGAATGATAAGGCTGAAAGCCAAAGTGTAAGGGGTTGGGAATTCAGAGAAAATTATGGAAAATAAAAATGTTGAGTTTTTTTAAAACAAAAAATAGGAAAGCTCAGTTCTAAGTCTCATAGAATATTAAATACCCTTAGATTTTTAAAAGAAAAATTGAAGAAAACAAGATCTATCAAATACAGCGCTTTCTCTTCATTCTCTGAGAGTTAAAATCCTATTCATCTTCAACTTCCTCTATACATCCTTACCTAACCATCCCAACCTTAAATGATCTCCTCCTCTAAAACTTAATTATTTACTGCATTTGTGCAATTAATTTGTAAATTAATCATGAAATATCTACTGTTGTCTTAGGTTAGAGAACCATAAATTTAAAATGGAAAGGGACTTCATATTCCATCTAGTCAAATCTCTTTTTACAGATGTGGAGTTGAGGTGGGGAGGGTTAATGACTTGTCTGCCAAGATCACACAGGTAGAAAGCACTAGAGACAGCATCTGAACTCAGGTCCTCTGACGACACAGCCTGAACTCTCCACTATACCAGGTTGCCAGCCCTGTACCTTCATTTCAGTGCAATACTCATACACTTATTCAGAGCCTACTTATATACTGTAGATTTTGGTCTCTTAGCCTGTTTCTTGACCATCTAGACAAGCGACCTGAATAGAGGAAATGTTCAATAAATGACCAAGTTCCAAGGACAGACAGGCACAAATAAGTGGTGATCTGCATCATTGGACAGAATCCCACATCAATGAAAGCACATATCCATATATAATTATTTCACTGTACTAAATGATTCTGTGGTGGAAGAGACTACAAACCTAGAGTTTGCATTATGATATAAGAAGTGTAAAAATATATTTAGAGAAGGAAAAATGTCACTAGTCCATAAAATTCAACCTTACGACAAAGTGGAAACATATTTTAAAATGTGTTCATTTGTTCCTATTCACTTCAGTATACATTTAAGCTCCTGCCCACCAAAAAACCCTCCCAGCATCTAACTAGAAGGAACCCTGGGAATCATTGAGTCTAACACCTTCATTTTACAAAGGGGAACAGTGACATTCCAGAGAAGGATGGTGACGAGTCTCTGGTCTAAAGTCATAGAGGGCAGCTTATTCAATTCTCAATAAATCTGAAGTAGAACAAATGACACACATACACCTCATACTCATAAACTGCTAGAGCTAGAGAGGAACTGAGACACTGCCTGGCCCAACTTCCTCATTTTAAAGAGGAAAAGACAAGGGCTCATGCTTAGTATCAGAACGAGGACTAGAACCCTGGTTTCCTTACTTATAGTCCATTTCTCTTTCATCCAAGCTTCGGAAATTTGGTTCCTTTGGGGATGCAATGAAAGAGAAGGGAGGGGGCCCCTTTTTTTTTTTTGGAGAGGCAATTGGGGTTAAGTGACTTGCCCAAGGTCACAGAACTAGTAAATATCAAGTGTCTGAGGCCAGATTTGAACTCAGGTCCTCCTGACTCCAAGGCCGGGAGCTTTATCCACTTTATCCACTGCATCAGCTAGGGGGCCCTTTCTAAATAATGACCTGGTCTGATGACTCCCGACTAAAAGAAGTGTGTTTCCTTTCAAGTACACCTTTGTCCCCAAGGTTTCCAATCCCTTCTAAGCCCTTTCCTATGTTCCAAGGACAGGAAAGTTTGAGAAGCTGGGGAGGGTAAAACTTCAAATAAGAGATGAAGCACTGTTGCCTTTCTGGTCTTCCTCTTTCTGAGTTCATCTCCCCTGGGAGATCATGGGAAAGGAGCCATTTCCCAGCCTGCCCCTGCTGCCAGGGCTCTTAGCACCTGAGCAATGGTTAATACTGTTGGCTCTTAGGGGACTACCTTGCTGAGCCAACGCCAGAGAGAGACTATCCTTCCCACCCTTGGGTTGCGTCACCAGAACTTAGAACCCTTAAGCTTTGGTCTCTATCATCTCTTTCACACTGTCCAATCCCATCTGGCAATCTACCCTGAGAATCTTGTCTACTATAACTCCCTATTACTCATCTGGAATCATATCCCTCCAGACTTGAATCTTGAGGGACAGAGCTTTGATCTCCACCATAGGACTGAGTGATAATTGACCCTTTGGTAGGAGCTGAAATGATTTTGTAGGGACAGAAACTAAGGTGCTGGAAAGGTATGGGGAAAAGCCATTGGCTTCCTATATACATTGCTGAGATCTGGGTTGTGTCTTTGCCCCCTGTATAGTCATAGGAGCTTCTTCCTTTCACTGTCATCTCCACATCTTCTCTTCCATTCTCCTTTCTCCTCAACAGCCTGACCCAGAGTTTTATACCTCAAGAGTTGCTCTGGCTATGGGCCCTTACTTTGAGGGTTGCGGAGGCTGTTCTGGCTTCAGGACCACTACTGATATAAAAAGCCTAGAATAATAATGGCTATTCCATTTCTCCAGAGCCTCACACGCTTTTCTGGGATTCAAGACTTTCCTGAGTTCAAGACTTGATGATTAAGAAGGAGAGTTATCTTGATTCCTTGTGACTCCTTGTAACTCCTTTTACCTTGTAAAAGAACGTGTGTTCTTTTAATTCCTAACTGCAATTTAATTTCTAATTGCAATTTTTTTGTTCTTTGAGTGCTTCACTGTATTTTAATGCTCCAGCCTGAATCACTGGATTGGCCTAGCTTAGGCCTCCATTATACTCAGCAAGTTCCAGACTATGTTTCATATCTTGCTATTTATCTTGCCACTGGTTTGGAGCTCCTCCGCATCTTCTTTACCTCTTGCTCTGGAACAGGAATCAAATTTGCATTGCTATTGCTTATGGAAAGGGTGTGATCACCAACTGCCCCATGACTCTGACTCCCAAGACTCTCCAGACTATTACTTCCCCTATATAGATATCTCCCCCTATTAGAACTTAAATTCCTTGGGGGCAGGGGCTGTCTCACTTTTATATTTGTACCCCAATGCCTGGCACAGTGCCTAGCATATAGCAAGTATTTAATTAAAGATCTGATTGACTGATTCATTACTTGAGAAATCCTGTGGAGGTGTACACTCCTATCCACATTCTCAGCAATTTGTTAGACTGTGCCCCACTACAGCTTTATCGACTCTAATCCCACCTCCTTTCTTAGAGATTACAAATAACATTAGAGGCCCCCCACAATTCAGTTGCACCAGGAAACAGATAATATAAATACAAATTACAGATAATCCACACATCCCATTTCAACTAATTTGTTACAAGGTTGATCAATCAAATCTTCTATGAGAACTTCTAAGGTGATTAAAAACAGACTGGTTTGAATTTTACTTCTACCATTTTCCTTTGGTCATTCTTACATAAAAGTGTTAATGAGAAATAATATAGCTAAAACAACAACAAAAAACAACAGGACTAGTTTACCTATGCACTAGGTAAAATAGCCTCTGGATAGTCAATAGTTATCTCTAGCTCACTTTTTAAAAGGTTGCTAATGTTCAATATTCTAATTAATATTTATTAAGCATCTACAGTGAGTTCTTCATAGATTATGCTTGGGGGGTAAGATTAATTTTCATTGATGTCGGGTGTTCCTTTTTTGCTGAATTCAACTAAGTATCTATCACTTGAAGAAACTGACTATACTATACTAAACTTTTATAAATACTATTTGAATTATCCCTTTACATTTTCAAATGTGAACTCCCCAAGCCTGTATGGAAGAAAATCTTTTGACCTCTTCTATGTTCTGCCCACCCTGAAAACCTCTGTGTGACCACAGCTTTGATGTTATTTCATAATTCTTTCCCAAAAGCACATAGGACCGAGGAGTTCATGTGCAGTGCTGTTCTTTTCCCCATGAACACATAGAAGGCTCTCATTGGGAGCTTTATTGAGTCCAATATCTGACTGAAGACTAGGCTCCTAATTTTTTCAGGACTATTACTCATTCTGTTTTCATTTTATATTTTTTGAGGACAGAAGAATTATCATTGTATCTTTGAAAAGAGTAAAATAGACTACAATTGTGAAGAACTATGTAATTAGAACTATGTTAGAAACAATAAAGATAAAGCTATCTATTGAGTAGGTTATCAAAAGAGTACCCACATTTCCCTTTATGATAACCGTTAAATCACTGACCATGTGATTTATGGGTATTTGTCATTAAAATAAGTAGTTCACAACTAATTATGTATAATAAGTTACATTGCAATTTGAAGGGAAAAAAATCTCACACTGTGCTGACTTTCAATCTCTTCATGTTTCTGCTGCAAGGCTTGTGAAGCTCTGATTGAATCACCTATTCCCCATTGTGTCCTCAGCTGTTCTGATCCAGGTCCTTCAAGCCAGTTTACAACCTACAAATAAAATATACGTCTTAGGATGATCAAAAGCTTTAAAAAAGACTTCTCTAATGATTTTCTTCCAAGAGTCTCTAAAATTCATTTCACAGTCAGTAAAAACATACATGTACTTCAGAACTACCAAGATATATTAGTGACATGGCTTTTAACATTTGCCTTGGGAGGGGGTGACTTTTGATAAACTTCAGGTTGTCAGTATAGCTGAGAATACAATAGGATGAAAGGAATTGAGAATCCTTGTTTGTTACTTCATATGTGTAATATAAAAGATGTATTTGTCTTGAAAAGAGAGAAATACAGAAATATAGGAACTTTTACCGCAAGCAACCTTAGACCATCTAGTCCAACCTTCTCATTTTCCAGAAGAAGAAACTGAGCCCAGAGAGGTTAAATAAATTTCCCAAAGTCACACATTACTTGTAGAGTTTAACTCTAGAAGTCAGGTGTTATGAGGCTTGCAATCTATTAGTAAATTAACCTGAATCACTGATTAAATTATCATAAACATGTAAATGACATGAAAAGAAGCTCCTTCGTTAGGGAGACAAAATATAATCATCCAATAATATCAATTATATAGATAGCTATGATTGTTACAAAAACAATAAACATTAAGACATTCTTGTCATAGAATTATGCTAACAGGCACAAAATTAATTAGTTTCATGGACATGAATTAATTATTTATAACCACTATTGCTGTACTTAGGGTAGCTACCACCTGGTGAAAAGTAGTATCTTTTTAACATAATGAAATTCTAGTGATTAGACTTATATTAAAACTGTAAGTAGTAGAGACATAAAATATATATCTTCTAAATTTTTATGTTAAAATATACCTGCTCATTAACTAAACTGTTCGTGTACCTTTACCTTCTGCTTTATTAATTATAGGTAAAAATTATGTTTAGTGCTATGAATATAGAGGAGGAAGTCTCTTTTCCATTACTGCAGACTTAATGGTTAACATAAGAATAAGTAGATGACAAATGTCATTCTCTAAGAGATAAGCGGTCAAAGGATATGAACAAAGTTTAAGAAAAATTGCCAAGTACTAACAACCCACACTAAATTTTTACCTCAAACTTTGAAAATTGGCAAAGATGACAAAAAATGGGACTAGTCACTGTTGGAGGGGTTATGGGAAGATAGGTTCTCTAGTGCATTGTTGGAGTTATGAATTACAGCTACTCTGGAAAGCAATTTGGAATTATGCAAATAAAGTGACTAAAGTGTTCATAACCTTTTAACCCAGAGATTATTCCATTACTAGGTTAAACCTAAGGAGACCATAAGTAAGAACAAAATCCTTATTTACACCAAAATATTTATAGCAGTACTTTTTGCAATAGCAAAGAACTGGAAACAAAGTAGATGCCATCAATTGGGGAATGGCAAAACAAATTGTTACATAAATGTAATGGAATATTATTGTGCTGCAAAGAATGACAAATGTGATGAATACAAAGAAGTATGAACAGATTTACATGAACTGATGAAGAATGAAGTAGAGCCAAGAAAACTATACACAATGACTACAACATAAAAAGAACCACAAAAAAATGATAAGTAATGTTGCAAAATTATAAAAAATTATCAGAGCTCAAAAAAAGTTTGAAGAGAAACTCTCATCTCACCCCTTTGCAGAAGTAAAAGTAAAAGCTGAACTAAAGCAACTGGAAAATTAAGCTCATTAACAATCTGCTATATATTGGGGGCTTTTATTAAAAATAAAGATTAATATGATATGAACCACTTAAACTTCAATTTTAGAATACTCCAGAAAAAATGAAATGATTGTATCTTATATCCAGGTCAAAAAAATCATGAAAATTACATAAGAAACTACCAACTGTATAGAATATTAAAAGAGTTCAATGCTTACTTGTTTAAAAAAATCAAAATTTCAAAGTAGCATAGGAAACAATTAAATGACTACATAGTTCTTTCTATGCTATGATTTAATTCACTTACTATGCACAGCACTAGTAACGCAAACAGAGCAAACATATGACTATTTCTAATAAAAATGATGTAAATTAAGGTTGATGCCCCCAGTAAACAAGTCTATTTACATGCATTAATGATGGCAGTTTGCCAAAGGTTACAAAATTTCATTCCAATTTGAATATCAATTTACTAAAAAAGTTTCAGATCCTATTTATGTCATATGTGACCCAACAAATGTTTGTATTTACATGAACTTCCAAATAACTTTCAAGACAAGTTTTAACAATCCACTAGGTCAGTACAATTTGCATAAGCCTTTACCTTCTAGTTTTGAGAAGTGCCATAATGAACAGAGTTGAGAAGAGTGGGTTCAAGTCCTGCCTCTGACAAACCCTGGCTACATGACCCTGGGCAAGGCTTTAACCTTTTAATGGCTTCCCTCCTTCTTTGCTCCACCCCTCCCCCCCAACCCCGACAAGCAACACTCTAACACTCTTAGTTGAAAAACAGTTGCCAGATCATTCCTGGAGTGAGCTACTATATCAATTAAATCACAGGTCCCAAATAATTACCACACTACTGTCATGGTTATTTATCACACTCTTGGAGCTCTTATGACATCACCATATAAATAACATATAATGAAACTAAGAACATTTGATGTATAGGGATACCTAATCATAAATGTATTTGACAAGACTGCATTATGATCTACCCTTAATCTAATATAAACAAGACTTGGTAAAGTCTAATATGTTAAATACTGAAAAGAAAATTCAAAGCATCATCAAAAATTGAGCAAAGAGTGTACACACACACACACATATCCCAAGATGATGCTGGCACCTACCTGCATTACCTTCTGTTGAATTTCCTCTAGCTGCGTGCGCTTACTTCGCTGTCTACAGACTTCCTGGTAACGGGTGTATTGTTCTCTTAAAGAATCTAGCAATTTCATGACTTGTGGCTGGGCAAGCAATTCATCATCCATGGGTGACCATGAGACTCCTCCATCAGAGCCATTAAATCGGCGCTGTTGTAATTCAGATAATAATTCATGGCCTTTGAGAACAAAAGACAATTATTAATGTCCCCAATGAGAAAAAAGTAGTATCATACCTTGGTGTTTTGTTAATTTTAATGATCTTTCGATAACAAAAATGGTATAGTAGCCTATGGACTTAATTTTGTATTTATATAAAGTAAATGCTATTTGCTTATTTATTACTGTAATGCATCAATCTACATTCCACATTAATCCCCTATAATGTGATGGCATTGTTATCACTCTATCCAAGTACTCCTAAGTCACACTAATTTATCACCCTAAATATAAGTTTATCCCAAGGCTCAATCGCAGTTCCTTTTCTTTATACTCTTTCCCTTGGTGATTTCATCTAATTATATAGGTTCAATGAACATCTTCAAAAAGACAACATCCAAATTTATAAAGCTAGGCTATTAGGCCTAATTTCTTTCCTCAATTCCAGTAATGCTTTTCCTACCGCAAATTGTATTATCTTGACCTTGATATTTTTTCAGAAGCTCAACTTAACACATTCAAAATAGAGCTAATCCTTTCCCCTCCCCCAACTTGCCTTTCCTCCAGTCTTCTCTAATTATTTTGAAGGCACAAACACCCTTGCAGTCACTTACAAATCCCCTCTTCCTCATAATTCCCTAATTAGCTGTAAAATCATGTGGATTATATCTCTACAACATTTCTCACATATATTCTTATAGTTAACTACCCTAACAGTTCCTTTTTAACTTCTCAGCTGGACTACTATAGCAGTCTCTTAATGGATCTCCCTCCTTCAAGTCTCTTTTTTTTCTCAAAATAGCAATGAAAATAACTTTTCTAGACCACAGAACTGATCATGTCACTACCGTGACTAAAAAAACTATACCTCATAAGCCAGAAAACAAACTCTTCAATCTGGCATGTCTTCTACGATCTGGTTCCATCCTGCCTTTCTAGCTTTACTGCACATTGTTCCCCATCACATGCTCTAGGAAAGCTGGTCTGAGAGATGTTTTCCGAATTCAACGATTCACCTTCTGCCTCTGTAAATTTACACAAGCTACTTCCTACACCTGGAATTCACTACCCCCTCAACCCCACCTTGCAGAATCCTTCCCTTCCTTTAAGCCTCAGCTCAGGCCTCACTTCTTCCATGTGGTCTTCCCTGATCTCCTGCACTATTAATGCTTTCTTCCTCCTACAATTACCATGTATTATTTGTGTACTGCAGACCCCAGCCCCTCACCCCCGCCACCAAATGCAAATTTCTCAGTGGCAGAGACTGTCTGGTATTTGTCTCTGTAGTCCTAGGTTCCAATGCAGTATCTGGCTCTTACTGGGCCTTAATGAATATTTGCTGAATTGAACCAAGCTGAAGTCCTAATAGGCAGCTCTAATGACATCAACAAATCAACAAGCATCTATTGAGCAATTACTATGTGCCCAGAACTGTGTTAGTTTTTTGGTAATACAAAGATAGCAAATGAAACTGCTCTACTCTCCCCTTATGCCTCTCCCAATGTAGTCACCTAGCCTTTTATCTGAAGACCTTTTCAGTAACAGGGAAACCACTACATCCTGTAGAAGTCTGTTTCACTTTTGGATAGCTCCGTTTGGAAGTTCTTGCATCCAAAACCAATGTCTTTGAGATCACTACTCAATGCTTTCAATCCTATTCAGAGACCGTATTGAACAAATCTAATCTCTCCTTCCACATAACAATAATTCAACTATTTGAATAAAGTTATTATGTCCCTGATGAAGTCTTTTCAATACATTCTCAGGACTGCTGAACTCACAGTTCAACAAGACATCGGTGGCCATCTCATTCAATCCATATGCAAAAAGAATTCCCATTATGTCAACTAGTCATCCAGACTCTGCTTGAAAACCACCAATGAAGGGGAAATCTACTCCCCCCCCCCCAAGGCAGTCCTTTATGCTTCTGGTCAGCTCTAGATGTTAGGAAGTTTCTCCCGATGTGAAGCTTAAATATAATGATGCTCTACATTACACATCCCCAGTTCCTTCAAGCCAGACTCATATCAGTCTCTAGCATTCACTATCCTGACCAACCTATTATACTTAAAGATGAGTTTCCTGAATGTCATAAAATAGGACGTCCAGAACTGAACACGATACTACAGATGTGTTCCAATCAGGGAGGAATACGGTGACGTTACCAGTTCCCTTGTTCTGGACATTATGCCTCTGTTAAGATGACGACAGCTTGCTTGGTTGCTGTGTAACAGTATTAGCTCCTCATGGTGAGTACAAAGTCCACTAGATCACTAGATCTTTCTCAAAGAAACTATTGTCTAGCAATACTTTCCCCATATAACACTTATTTGTACCAGAATAGGACTTTAGATTTATCCCTATTAAAATTAATTTTGTTATATGCAGCCCATATATTGATGACTTTTTGGAATCCAATTCCACTATAAAATATGTTAGCTTTTCCACCCAGTTTTTGACATTTCTAAGTTTGATAGAATGTCATTTATTACTTAATCCAAGTTAGTTATTGATTGAAACAGTGAAAAGCAGGGGGGTCAAACAGAAATCCCTGTGTCACTTCACTACAGAACTGTCTTTACATTCGTGACTACTCTTTGGGTCCAGTCATTCTGCCAATTTCAATTCTACATAATTCTACGATAATCTAGACCGCATCTCTGTTTCTTCCCAACCCTGTTCAGAACACATCTCTCTCTTCTAGGAATTCAAAGAATTGTTATTATTCCTCTTGTGTTCTTATAATATTATAATTATTTGTATACATTTTTCTCTCTTCTATTACATTTTTAGTTTCTTGAGAGGAGGGACTTGATTTGCATCTCACTTGTTTCCTTTTGCAATACTTTTATATTTGGTACATTATCATATTTCAGGATTAGTCCTTAAATACAGCTTCTATAAGAAAAGCAAATAATAGTACAGCAAGTAGGTGAAAGGCTAAAAGAGGAAAAAAATTGTTAATATGATATGGTATCTACACATTTCCTGATTCAAGAAGAATCTCTGGAATATGAATGGAAAGTATATCCTATGATGCATGTATTGAATTTAATGCTTAGTGTCCAACAGCAAATGATTAATATATCAACTATAAAGCCATTAAGACAGATAAACTTTAAATGTATGAATGATATATAGAATATTTAAATATCAAATGGCAAAACTTTTATTTTAAATAAATTTCAAAAACATAGTAAAAATAAAAATAAAAGTAGCTAAAATTTGTTTCATATAGTGTATGACTCAAAATTAATTCATTGTTGTTGTTTTTTTTCCAGTTGTTGAGTAGTGTTAGACTCTGTGGCCCCATGGAGTATAGCTGTCATGTTGGCAAAAATACTGGAGCTATGTGCCATTTCCTTCTCGAGTGGACCCTTTTGTCAGGAAATCAGAGATTAAATGACTTGTCCAGAGTCACACAGATAGGAAGTGTCTGAGGCTGGATCCGAACTCAGGTCTTCCTGACTCTAGGCCCAGTACTCTAGCCACTGAGCATAATAATAATAATAATAATAATAATAATAAATAATAATAAATACTAAATAATGAGGTTAGTTAAATCAAAATCTCTTTTGTAAATTTAGATAATAGGTCAACTGGGTAACCAGTGTTTCATTTCTGAGATATATTTAATGTTATAATACTGTTTATTATTATGAATTTATGATAATATTATTAATAGTGACGGTACCAATAAAAAACACAAGTGTTAGCTAGAAGAAAATAAATAAAATGTGATTCCTGGTTATTTGTGGATTACAATTTGCAATAATAGAGAAATTCATAAATTTCTGTAAATTCCCTGAAAACACACTTTTAAAAAATTTAAACTAAAAATGTGTCTCTTAATGACTGTTTTCCATGGTAACAACTTCCTGACATGGTATACCTAAGAATGCTTCAGATACATATCTATATCTATACATGTTTACAGACGTGTATGTATGTCTATAACTCTTTAATAATGTTATTTTCTTCATTTTAAAGAATTCCTTTTAAAAAAAGTGACCCAGATACCCAGGGAATTCCAAACACAGAGAAATGGAATTACGAGGCATGACTGTAGGAAGTTCAATTACCACAAACCAAGCAGACTCAAGGTAAATATGCCTCTATTTTGGCCATGCTTCTAATTGTAGTTTTAAGATGCCACAGTTCTAGCCCACTGAAAGAAAAATGCTTTTAATTGCTTAAACTTAGAATTTGGATTCTTTTAAAGTATCAAATGTAAATTACTGATGTAAAATTAAGTTGCAATCTGTATAATGTTTTTTACTAATGATTTATAATTTCTTAATTATACCAACTCAGTGACTATATTCATTTCTTTGGAAATTATGAAATCTTTAGGCAGTAACATAAAAAAAAAAACCAAAAAACTTGGGGCAGCTAGGTGACGCAGTGGATAGAGCACTGGCCCTGGAGTCAGGAGGAACTGAGTTCAAATCCATCCTCAGACACTTGACACTTACTAGCTGTGTGACCCTGGGCAAGTCACTTACCCCCATTCCCTAGCCAAAAAAACAAAATAACAAACAAGTTGATACAAAACAAGAAACATTTATGACTCACTTTCTTTAGTCTTCTAATACAGTTTTAAGAACACCTGTTTTTGAAAGGGCATTTCCCAAAATATTATAAACTATTAAAAAGTTTTAAACCTACTTACAATAATTACATAGATTATCTTCTGAGAACACTGCTACTAGAGAAATATACTGGGTATAATTTAAGGAACATCTGGTTTTACATATTCCAGTTTGTTCTACCTTACTCAATACAATCATTAATGAAGCATTCAAACCAGAGCATGTTCAATCAACAATTAATCCTTAGAAGATTAAATTTATGATTTAAAAAATATAAATAGTATTTTAAAAATATTTAAAAGCACTCTTAAGTCCTTTTAGATTAAGGCAGGAAAGATAATTTGAGGAATTTCCATTGGGAAGTAGTAATCTAGTGGGGCCAAATGGTCCAAGTTTGAATACCTGCTCAGTTCCTTACTATGTAACCTTGGGCAAGTTGCTTAACTTCTCTGGTTTCAATTCCTCGTCTATAAAATGATGGCATTTGAACTAGATAATATCTAAAGTCCCTAAAGGCTCTACATTCTATGACTTCTAAGTGGCATGTACACTTAGGCAAACGAAAAATAAGGGTCTTACCCTGACAGGAGAATTTTAAATGTTAAAATTAATATTCTTATTGGGCTTTGTTCTACCTATAATCTGTGTATCATTGTAATGGTCTAAAGTGCAGCTAAGTGCATTCTGACAAGGTAATAAAGTAAAAGTGGCCCAAATCATTTTCATCTCCAAAAATCTGTAGAAAGATTTTGTTCCTCAAAGTCTGTAACATTATCTAAAAAAACATTGGATAAGATGTATGGAAGAATTACCTCTGGAGACAAGAGTAATGGAGGAGGGGTGCTAATGTTCCATCAAATCTGGAGTTGGAGTGTCTGGATGTGACGGCTTTTTAAACAGAGGCAACCTACTATTCACAGTTTTGATGCCATCAGCCTTACAATCTGGCTTCTGACCCACTTGACAGAAATAGTCCTCTCTCCTAAGTTACCAATGCTCTCTTAAATTCTAAATCTGATGACCTTTTCCCAGTCATCATTATGCTTGACTTCTCTACACCTATTGATACACTAACCGCACCTTCCTGAATGCCTTGGCTTTGCAGACACCACTGTCCTTTGATCTCATTCTTCTTCCTTATGTCTTTTCTTCTTCCCTTCTGTTCTCAAAAGTTTTGGTCTTTTCATTTTTACTCCAAAAATCATAAGTTTTTCAACTTACCTGTTTGTAGAACTGTCTCAGGATCAACTGATGGAAGAAAGTTTAAATCCATGGATCTAATGATTACCAAAATTTTGAAAATAAAATTAACAGTTAAATATTTTTATCTGTGCAACCAAAGAAAATAATTAGAATAGAGGAAAACTCTGATACACATATACATCTTGGCTCTACATACCAGAATTCTGCAAATTTCTAGATAAGAAAGACCACTGGAGATGATGAAACATTGGTAGCCATGGCAATAACACAATAAATTAAAGCTACAGTTGCCAGTACATTGTGTTTATTTATTCTGGAAACAAGTTTAGTGTGTGTTATACTAATGCTTTTAAGTGAATCCACACATAATTCACTACAGTATTTCCTCTGTGAATACTTATTTCAAAATGAAGAACTTTAATTCATTGATGAAATGATACTAAAATGGAATCATGGTACCAGGGGACAAAATAAACACTACTATTTGTAATTAATCAATAATAGTAGATACACAGCTAGAGATATAGTACATTTTGAATCCTTGTAAATAACAAAGTATGTTTTAATGAGGTTTCACTGTGTTTACAAATTACATCCAAAAGATAAGAAATGGGTCTAATCAGTGCCTTAATTCTTTCATATTGCCACATGACAAATTGTTGGCTTAGTAACCAATGTGTATCCAAGAAAAATAAAGGAGTCAATTTTCTTCCTTAAGTGTTTAAACTTTACCCTGAGAAAGGATTTGGCCCACACAATGAGAAAAATAGGACTTACAAGCTGTTAAGTGCAATGGAAACCTGTTAAAATGATAAATCTGAGAAGTCACACTTTGATATTACAACTGAAAAATACTTCAGTCACATTCACAAAACAGTAAATTTTCCAAACTGAACTCATGAATAGAATATATTATCCATTTTGTAATGAGAAAATCCACAAACTAAGCTTTTAAGTGCTATCATGTTTTAGTTAGGTCATAATAATTTTATTAACATCTTTGCTCCTTTACATACTCTTTCCTAGCACTCAGAAAGGTAGAAAAAAACACTCAAGTTGCTTGCAATTAAAAAAAAAAGACAGTCTCCAAATACAATTCTTATAATTGGACATCTGCTCATCATTATAAACAAAAGTCAATGCATAATTATTCACCAGAAATGGCTTTTAGGGAAAAAGAAAAACTTTACTTAAAAAAAAAAAGACTAAGTTCTCCCTGTGGTGAAGCTAATTTATTGTCACTTGAACATGAAACTAATGCAAAATCAGAATGTGAATTTAAACTTCAAACTCTTCTACACAGCTAAATTATCTTGTAGCAACTCAGGAGGTATCTCATTCAAGATTAAACTTAGCTGAGCAATGTTGCATACAGAATAAAATTCATGCACATACCTTTCTTTCTCCTGCTGGTTTCCCTTATCACTTCCATTATTGATCAAAGCAAGCTCATCCAGTAAAGATGTAGAGTCTTTGGTAAACTTCTCAAAGACCTAAAATGTGACAAAAAATTTTGTTAGAAGCATCTTTTTAGGAAGCACACAAGACCTCGCATCTCCTACTTTAAAAATGAAGATTTCTGAATAAATATTCCAAAAAGTGAAAAAGACATATGGGTTTAAAAACCAAGAATAATTTAACTTGAAAAGCTAAATAATTTTAAGGGGAGGCCGGGGAGGAGGAGAATGAACCTTTAATGGAAAAGAGGACTTTCAAGAAATTTCTGATGAAAAGACCAGAGTGGAATAGGAATTTTGAAATATGAACACAAGACTACAGAAAAAAATCTAAAAAGGTAAATTTATTTGAATAAATGGAAGGGGCTGTCTGATGCTATGGCAGTAACATTCTAAACAAGTGTCCCTCCAAAACCTTAATTATCTTCAAAGGCTACTTAGGAAGTTAAATAAGTACAACAGATGTCCTGGAGGTATATTGCTCTGTTATGAGGGTTTTAAGAGGATGAAGAGAAATTACAGCGTAGAAGGATTTTGCTATATGGAATCTGCTATTGTTCATGATTGGGGTACATGGGAAGAAGAGTGTACAAACATGGGGAAAGAGAAGGGGGGGAAAAGAGCAAGTACTTATTAAATACCTACTATGGACCAGGCACTGTGCTAAGCAGTTTATCTCATTTGATCCTCACAACAATCCTGGGAGGTAGATATTATAAATATATTTATTTAAATACAAAATGTGGCATGTAAAGGGAACAGAATATTAATGCACTCTAGGAAATGATAAGACGATTTCAGAGAATCCTAGGTAATATGAACACAAGAGTGAAATCAGTAGAACCAAGGAACAATTTATACAGTGTTGTAAAGAAAATGTTCTTGAGAATAATCTACACAAGCACTGAAGATATGCCTGGTGAATGTATTAGAAGGGAAGAGACAGATCTGTGCAAGTGATATTTATTCCTCAGTAGATCATATCTTTATCACTATACAACTGGCTAAAATACATAGAGAATAAAAGATTGTTTTGTTGACTACAAAAAAAATTTGCTCTAAATTTTTTTAAAATTTAAAGCAAAAACTATTTTAAAGACTATCCTTCAACAAAGTCGCTCATGCATATAACAAAATTTTGCAAGATTCTCTTAAAGATACAAAGGAGATAATGTTATATGACCCTATTATCATTAATATAAAAGATGACATAAAATAGGTAAGTATGCTCATCAAAAGTATTCACTCTTACAGCAAAAATATCTGCAAAGTTTTTCAAGTCAAAGAGAGATGACTCTGCCAGATATTTCTTTTTGCAGATTAAATATTACAATAATTGTAATAGGCCTTTAATGCTGCAGAACTCACTATATTGGATTCATAATCACGCCAAAGACTTTGTTCTAATTACCCACACACGAAAAACCAAATGGATGAAGAATGTCTATTGTTCAGGTTATTAGGATATTCAGTCGAATTAACATTTCACAAAGCTCATCCATCAGTATCTCTATCTTGGATTGACACACTGAAAATGGACAATGAGTTGGGCCCAAAAAACAAAGGAGGAGGAAGGTGGGCTTGTTTCCCTTTGGGAAACTACAAAATCATTTTAATGAAACAAATTTCTCTCAGAAATGAGGGTCTCATCTTTTAAATACCAACATTTTTCTGGTATTGTTTTATGAAACACTACCATCTCCCATGAATTGAAATTGAAGATCACACAAATTGAAGGTCATTTCCAGGGCAATGAAGAGGGACATGGTAGGTATGAACAGGCTATAATACATTACAAACAATGAATTATGAAGCAGTATCATTGAAGATATGTATGAGAGAAAATGGAGTAAAAATGGTTATATGGTGATAGCAAGGGATAACCGAGGCACATTCTGTATGTTTTACTGCTCTCCTCAGAAGGAATCAAGGAAGACTCCTAGCATGTTGGATGTACTCACTATGGTATACTTATGGGAGAGTATGGAAAAATCACAGAGGATAGGCAAACATTTGGGAAAAAATACACACATCAAAGAGATGAGAGATACATTTGAATATTTTGATAAAATTTTTAGTTTTATCCACATTCAGAATTGTGAGACATGGTGTCTTATATGACCAGATAATAATCAGAAGCCAGGCAAGTATGGTTAGTCAAAATCACAAAAAGAAAAAGAAAAATGAAAGATTTAGGAATATTATTATAATGTAGTATTCTGCAATAAAGGACTAGGGACCTGGATTTTTGAAAATCTAGTTTCATATCCAAGCTCCTCTACTTACTCACTGTGTGATCCTGAGAAAAGTTGCATTACCTTTTTGGGCCTCAGTTTCTTCATTCATAAATGCCTGATAAGGTTTCTTCTCAGGCTAACACTTTTTGATTCTAATGTGGGTCTGATTGACAAATCTTATAAGGAAAGATCTTCCATGTCCCCTGTATGACTCTAAGCATTGGGCTATAAGCCAGAGTATGGTTATCTATGTTGACCTGAGAATTTAGCCAGTTCTCAGGAGATGTGCTCTGGTAACCTGGCCAGTTCATCAGAACATATCAAGTTAATTAATATTCTAAGATGTTTTGCTTGCTCTAGGAACTTGGCCAGTTCCTGGACCAAGTAAAAACAATCTCTAAAATCATGGACACCTCTGGCATGGGGCCTTCTTTGTTACAGGCCCTATTTCAATCCTAACTGGGAAAGCCATCTTTGGATTCTCACCCATGGAGAGGACGCTCTGCCTGGGACTCCACAATCGGGACCCTAAAAGCTGTACTCCGGGAATCCCCAGCTTGGTGCTTCCCTGAATTGGGGATGTTTTCTTATATCATTGCTATCCTTTGTATTCTTAGCCTGAGTATAGTCATATTGCTAATTGTATGTTGCTGTAAATCTACCTTTTCTATACCTATATTATAATCTTAATTAAAGCTACCTTCACTTCTCTCTCTAGGAGTGTGTCTTATTGTAGGAGCAAATCCCAAACCACATTTTTCTTCCTTAATCACACAGGGTTTCTTTTTGGTAACTCTATCTCCTGGTGACTTAAAGAGGCTGAGTTCATACCTAGCTGAACAAACTAGAGCTAAATAAAAACACCTGTAAGATTAATAGTATTTAGCAGAGCACAAGCAAGTAAAGGACACAACAGTTTAAAGGCAGCCTCCCCAGACACCTCTATGGTGATCAGGATCTGGTAGCAGTGGCAGGGAGATAGCACAGACAGGCTCATAGGATTCCATTTTTAAATCTGGGAAAGGCCTTAGAGATCATCCTATCCAATCCCCTTATTTTATGGATGAGGAAAGTTCAATGATTTGCCCAAGGTCATACAGCTTAAGTAATAGAGTTGGGATTTGAAAGGTGAAAGAACCTAACACCATTTCTTAAGTAAAATTTATTGGAGAGAATAAAAAGTTCCTAGACAAAATGGAATAAGATGTCCACAAGGGAAGAAACAAAGATTCTGAGAAGGTAAAAGAAATTGAAGCCAGTGTTAAGGGTAGGATAATGAAAGAATATGACATAGAAAAGGAAGGAAAGAAGAATTAATAAATCAATGGAGATAGGTGAGTCCAGAGGCTCATAATAAGAGCAAGGAGGATTTACAAGGTACTATCAGGCATGAGAAAACCTGTTACTGTCCCCAGGAGGAAGAAATAAAAAGGCCAGGGTGCATAATGACTTTCTATTGGCAGGAATGGAAGACTCTACATGCAAACCTGTCCTGACCAGCCAAGAGGGAAGCTGTCACCCCAAAGTGTGTGTCCAAGTCATTACTGGGAGCCTGATAAGATTCATTAAACTGATTAACACTTCCTCTGATTGACATGTGAATAACTGATAACCAAGAAGAAAACTGGAATATATCTCTAGTAACTTTTTGATACTGGGTGGGAAACCCAAAGAGTAAGATCCTGAAAGACTAGTAAGAATTTTATGTTGTATTTTTTTTCTTACAAGGTGTAAAAATCAGATTACTACCAATTATTATCATTTTTTAAACTGTAAAAAAAAATCCAATTATCAAAAAAGTTAAAATAGATAACTCAACTGAAAGGATCTTGAAACGTATCACAAAGAGCTCATAAAATATTTTTGTCTAATATTTTGTAAAAAGTCATATTTGTTTTATTTCAGTGATCCCTAAACATAAATTCAATACCAAATATCTATCTACTAATAACTACAAAGTTCTACAATAACATATTTCTATAAAGGAGTAAAAGCCCAAGCACAGAAATCAGTTATGCTTTAAAATGTTGGTATCTAGGACCACAGATTTAGAACTGGGAAGGACCTTACAAATTACCTAGTCCAACCCCTTCACTTTATATGAGAAAATAAAAAGAGTTCCAGCAAGGTTAAATGACTTGCCTAATATCACCAAGGTAGTAAAGAACAGAGCCAAGATTTGAATCCAAGTCCTTCGAATTTTCCATTGCATCATCCTGCCTCCCTTCCAAGTAAAACTCAAAATACAATCAAATGAACTTAATTTTTAAAATTATCATAAATTATACATTATGATATATAACAGAATTTTATCATTGTTCTAATATACCAACCAGTCTCTTATTTAGCCAATCCATGTGATCATAGGTAAGACTTCCACCAAAATCTTCTGTTAACTGGCAGGGCTCTATATATCGGGTTAATTTGTTAGCTGATACTAAAATAACCTGTAAAGATTGATAAGTAATTGTTATTTTGTAAACCTTCACCACAATATAAATAAAAATTTAATTACATCAACAAAATGGTAGTGTTATTCAAATAGAACTGGTACTAATGATGTGATTGTAATATGAAGTCAATCTACTTGATTGATATATAGCCATGCATAACCTTTGAATAACTTCCAGAAACATACCTATCATACTATTTTCAGTAGCATGTTTCTTAAACGTAAGTAAAAAGCCATGTTGAAAAAGAGGCTGGTTCAACTTCTTTTTACTAGAACTAGCAATAATGTACTCACAAAAATGAACTATTCTCTAATAGTATTCTAATTTTTATCTGATAAGGAATTTCACATATTAAAACCATCTGAAGAATTCCAGAAATATATACCTACAACAAATCTGACAAACAAACAAAAACTAATTTCATTGTATTACCGTTCTTTATATATCTTTCCATCCCCTGGTCCCCTACTGCTTACTCTTCACACATGTGCTCACCTACTGATGAAACACCCTTTACTTAAATATACCTCTGTTTAAATACATAAATATATAACGGATAAATAAATATATACACCCTCTATTTAAATATAAACTGAGACGGTTTATTTTAAAAATCATTTACAAATTAGATATATGATGGGAAACAGTGTGTATAAAACTAAAAAAACATACACATTAAAATACAATTTTCCTCATCTAAACCCTTTGCAAAACATTAAATACAAATTATAAAAGTATTCTCTTGTTCTTATCCTGCTGTTCTCTCATCTCTCTCTCCCCCCCCACCAGCCCAAATCAAATGCCACCTATTCCATGAAGCCTTCTTTGCCTTACTCTACCAACTCTTTCTCACCTCCACAAGTGAAAATGACCTCTATCTCTTCAAATTTTCTATAGTTCTTAATCTAAACTATTTCTTTGCACTTATCACATCCTTTCCTGTATTCCATTTATTTATGGACTTGTTCTTTGCAGAATTATACTGTTAGTTCCTTGATGAAAGGGCCTGTATTGCATCTATATTAGTAGGTTTTGTATTTTAGCAGCCATAAGAAGTGCTTAATAACTACTTGAATTGGATAGCTTTGAATTTTAAAGTATATAAATATGGTCATATCCAACATAATTAGTTTGCCATACACTTAATCTGCGAGGGACAATCAGAGAATTTTAGTTCAGAATCTGGAAATGTGCTTTTATGTTCTACAGAAATCTCATCACCTCTGTATTGGGTAGGTTTAGTAAGAGTGCTATCAAGAAAAGTACTTCCTTTACAAGGCATCAATCTGCTTGCTAAATTGAATATCATGTACCTCCAATAAATAACACCCCTGGAAGCACTTTCCTTTCTTAAAAGAAATCTATAAACAGAACATGAAGCCTGAAATATTTGTACTTCTCAGCTGTGTCATGCTTGGCATGATTCTAGTTTACTTTTTAAATGACCTACTTTTGTGCTAGAGCACCCTCTTGTGTTGTAGTTATTATCACTTTTAATGCTATTATATTCTTCCTTGCCTTTCTCAATAATACTTAATATGGAAGCAATAAGAAATTAAAGAAGAAAAGAGACTTATATGCAGATAATATTCTTTGTACTTGTATACCAAGGCCTAGTATAGGTGTTTAATAAATGCTTGTTGACTGGTATTGTTTATTCTTTTCTTCAAAATATGGCAAAAAAATTGTAGCTAGCTATTACTAACAGATGATTTTCACAGGCCGCTTGTTTTTCCCTTCTCTTCCAATTCTGTATTTGAGTTAGTTCCTTCTTAATAATTGTAACCACAAGCAGAGAGTAGGAAGAGGAACAGAAATTGTAAAACCTGGATAGATATGTTTCAGGTGTTGATCTTTGGGTCACAGGAGATGTTAAAAAACAGTAAATAAGCATAATTAAGCACCTCCTATGACACTGCACTAAGCAACAGGGATACAAAGTGATGTAAAAAACAATCCCTGCCCTTGCGGAGCTCACAATCTAATGTGGGAGACAACAAAAAAAACATGTACAAAACAAGTTATATACAGGATAAGTCAGAAATAATGAACAAAAGTAAGACACTAGAGCTAAGAGGGACTGAAAAACACTTTCTAGAGAAGATGAGATTTTAGTTGGGACTTAAAAGCGGGGGTAGGGGGAAGGGAAGGAGTGTGTAGGGCTACCTCTTTGTGGGGGAACACAGGTGAAGAAGGACATAGTAACAGAAGGCATCTGAGTAACATGAGATGAGGAAGAGGAGAGAAGAAAGAACTCTTGGTGAATAACCTAAATTTTTTGATGTAAAATATGAATCAATTTTCTCAGCTGAGAGGTAGGAATGAAAAATTTCTGAAGAACCATGGCGGAGAACGGGAAGGATTGCCTATTAGCAATGATGGCTCTGTTAAGGTTATATGATATAAATCGGTAGCAGATCCAGGCAGGATGGTTGTGCGATTTGCTCTACTTTCTTCAGCAGCACACATGTGTAGGAGTGAAGGCAGCGAATGGTAGGAGTGATCCAAGAGGAGACTTGGCAGGGCACCATCAGTAATAAGATAAGGAGGCAAGGGAACTAAAGGAAAGAGTACAATTGAGAGTTTAACTGGTTCACAAAGTGGGGGAAATAGAGGGGCTGGCTCAAGAGTGACGACCTAGAAGAAAACTGAAAGGTCAAGGACTGGAGGCCATGGTTTGGACAAAGAGTAGTTTGTTAGGGGAAGGCAGAGGAAGAGATGGAAAGCCAAAAGAGTGTGCTCAAATAGGGACATTTCAGAATTCCTCAATAAAAAGGTGGTGCATTTGTGGATGATATCAAGTAAGGGTATAACTATCTTCGTAACTGGCTGAGATGGGGTGGAGGAAGGGGTACGTCATGGGAAATGAGGAGCTTTAGGAACTAGGAGGTTAAGGTGTTTGAGGGAAGAAAGATTGTCATCTAGGTACCGAACTCACTGAGGAAGGAATGGGAGTATTCTGCAGGTCTGTAGAAAACAGCTACTAGGATTTTGAGTGGGTGGAAGATGTGAATTGTTTGCATCTGAAAAGAGAAGAGGTTCTTGAGTGAAGGTGATAGGAGGAGAACTCAGAAGTGGAAATGGAGAGCAAGGAGCACTCCAATTCCCTCACCTTGACCAGTAAGCCGAAGTGAATGAGTGAATGTGCAGGCAGTACTGGAAAGGGCAGTTAGGGAGGCTATGTTCTGCAGGTGTGGGGGTGGAAGTAGACAAGTCAGAGAAATAGCTGTAAGGTGTGGGAAATAACAAGATTTAAGGTGACAAAAACAAGTTTGTTGCCTATGGAACAGGCATTCCAGACAGCACAATGTAAAGGAGTAGGTAACATTTGTTTGGTAATTTGGGATGGTAGGTTGAGGGCTGGCAATAAAGAATTGGGTAATAGGGGATGGAGACTGAACTGTTAGGAAACTGTGAATTCTTAAAAAACAAGATTCTTCTCTTTCTGAAAATATTATTTTTCTAGGATAATGTTGCATTATTTTTGTTTTTTATCATGGAGGGAACTAGTTTAACACCTTCCTCTGCATGGGGGATAGCAAATATTCTATGCTATCTTTTCTAGTTATTTTACCTAGCCATATAATCATATTTTTCTCCCTGATAAACCATCTGGTAACAGATGACAGCAAAATTATCCCCTGGTATATACAGGGCCCTATTCCCCTCTGCCAAGGATCTATCCAACTACTTTGGGGAATGTATACCAGGCTATTTGTATCACACAGGGGATGTGATGTCCAAGTATTGAAGGAGAAAAGGGAGGGAGAATTCTTCTACTTGTGGGAGAAAAAACCTAAAGCACTCTCATGGCAGCCTATTTACCACCACCACCCCCCGAATCCCTAGCAGAGGAGGAAATGGACTTAACACACACATAAATGCAAAACCACAACCCTAAGTACAAAGCTATACTATCTTCATCATAAGTAATATATTTTTAAAAATTAGGTAACATAGGTGAAGTGATATTTAAGTACCATTCACAGTGTGGCTCTATTGTATATATAATTGATTGTCTGCATAGATTATTATATTTTCTAATGTAGTATACAATATTTGGAATACTTAATCTACATATGCAAATATGTTATACCTAATTGTAAGCACATATATATATATATATATACACACACACACATACACACATGTGTGTGTATGTATGTATGTATGTATGTATGTATGTATGTATGTATGTATGTATGTATATTCACATGCTCACATATAGCCTTGCCTCAAAGACAGGAATACCTTTATAAATAGTGGTTGTGTGGCCCTGGGTTAGTGACCTAATCTCACAGTGCTCTAGGCATCTCTCTAAGATTATACAATTCCAAAGATGGGGTAGCTCTGAATTGGCAGGGGGAGTTTCCTTACTTGGGAAGTGCCCTATACCAACGTAATTACAGGTCCAATCTCTATCCTATACAGTTCTTTTTATAAAGCATAATGCTGAGTTGGCTAATTGTGACAACAGTTAAATTATCTGTGCTTTGGGGATATGCTATGCAAAAGCTTTCCTTCACCACACAGAAAAAGGTTGAAAAAGTGTTGATCTACTGCTAGGTCTATATCCCAAAGACATCCTCCAAAATGGAAAAGGATCTATCTGTACAAAAATATTTATAGCAGCTCTTTTTGTGATGGCTAAGAACTAGAAATCAAAGGGATGCCCATCAATTGGGGAATGGTTAAACAAGCTATGGTATTTGATTGTAACGGAATACTGTTGTGCTGTAAGAAATGACAAGCAGGATAATTTCAGAATAACCTGGAAAGATTTACATGAACCGATGCATACTGAAGTGAACAGAACCAGGAGAACACTGTACAAAGTAAGAGAAATACTGTTCAATGAAGAATTGTATATGACTTGGCTATTCTCAGCAATGCCATGATCCAAGACAATCTCAAAGGACTAATGAAGAAAGAACTGATATTGATTGAATACAGACAGATTGAATACAGCATGCTATTTTTCACTTTCTTTCTTT